ATTAGTTCTCAAGGCTTGAAAATAATCCTCTGTTCTCTGAGACCATCTAGGCAGGACCCTGCCCTCCAGACTCTGGATGTTGGCCATGCTCTCTGGATTCTGGGTGGAGGCCCCTCATCCTTGGGCTTCAGCTCTGCCTTCCAGGCCCACTGGGACGGCAACACTGCCTCCTCAGCTTTGGGCTGCCTCATTCATCTGCCCCATGGGCATTGCAGTCCCACCGTCTCAGCTTTGGGTGGGGGCCCAACCACCGGCACACCTTAATGGCAGCCCCACTCTCCAGAACCAAGCTGGTGAAGATCCAACTCCTTGAAACCTAGAAGGCTATGACCCTACTCTTAGAGATCCAGGAGACTGTGCTCCACCCTTTGAAACCAAGAAGGCCCTGCTTCCCATGATCCTTCCAACAGTTCTGCTGATCTCCAAGCTGCTCCAGGGATGGTCCTTTTCTTTTCTTGAAGGATAACAGACGTAGCTCCTTTGGCCTGTTTCTTGCTTGTAGAGTTCCAAGATGCAGACAGCATTCTTCCTCTCATTCTTTCTCTGTCCCTTTCAGTCTAAGCTAATGGGTTTTCTGCTGTGATAGTTTGTTAGATCCATCAGTCACAGGCTTAATCTCTTTAACAAAAGATTATGTAGCTACTTCCTTGGTGAAAATTCTAGAACATATGTTCTTAGTTTGTACAACAGAATTTTTCAAATCTTTCAGTTCTGTTTTCATTTTGCACAGTTTATTTTTAAGACCATCTCTTTTCTCTCAGCATTTTACTATAAGCGGTGAGGAAAACAATGCAGCCCCTTTAAGATCTTGCTTAGAAATCTCATTAGCCAGATATCCAAGTTTATCACTTACAAGTTCTACCTTACACCAAACACTTGAATATAATTCAGACAAGTTCTTTGCCACTGCATAAAAAGCATTACCCTTCCTCCATTGTCCAATCACATGTTCGTTGTTTTCTTTTAAAGCCTCACCAGCACATTTAATGTACACATTTCTAGCGGCACTCTGTTGTTGGTGCCATATGTATTCTCTAAAACAATAGAGACTTTCTCTATAGCTCTCCTTACTTCTTTCTGACCTCTCACCAGAATTGCTTTTGATGTCCATAATTCTACCAATAGTCTCTTCAAAGCAATCCAGGCTTTACTATTAGGCACCTTGAAACTCTTTCAGCCTCTATCCATGATCCAATTCCAAAACCACTTCCACATTTTAGGTATCTGTTAGAGCAGCACCCCACTCTTCTGGTACCAAATTCTGTCTTGGTTACCTAGTGCTGCTATAACAGAAATGCCACAAGTGGATGGCTTTAACAAACAAATTTATTCTCTCATGGTTTAGGAGGCTACAAGTCCAAATTCAGGGCGCCAGCTCTAGGGGAAGGCTTTCTTTCTCTGTTGGCTCTGGGAGAAGGTCCTAGTCTTCTTTCAACATCTATGGGCCCGGCTTTCCTTGGATATCTCCAGTGTCTTGGCATCAATCTTCCCGTGCATCTAGGAGGTTCTCAGTACAGGGACTCTGGGTCCAAAGGTTGCCTTTGTTCTGCTCCCAGTTCTTCTTTCTTTGTAGTAGTGTGTCCCTCCCTTTTTGCTCACAACCCTCTGGTTTTATCTCTTGTAAGATAAAAGGTGATGCAGGCCACACCATAAGGAAACTCCTTATAACCGGTCAGGGCTGTGACCTGAGTAAGGGTGTTACTTCCCACCCTAATCCTTATTAACATGGCCTAATCCTGCCTCATTAACATAACAGATAGCTCACTCTCAAATGAGACTATAACCACAGGCATAGAGGCTAAGATTTACAACGCATCACAAAATGGAAGATTATCAGATTGCAAAATGGAGGACAACCACACAATACTAGGAATCGTGGCCTAGCCAAGTTGACACATATTTTTGGGGGACACAAGTCAGTCCATGAAAACTCCTTCTGTAATAACACCAAGGAGATGGTCCCTATCCACCCATCCCTCCCCAACTTTCTCAAAGGGCAACGACATCTTAAAGGAAGAAATGAGGACCAAATGAGGAGAGAGTACAAAGTCATAGGCTGTGATGGAGACTCAGAGAAGACTTAAGACAAACTGCCACCCCACCCACCCATCCCTGCCCAGGGTGGCTCTGCAGATGAGGAACTGAGCCTGGAGTGGGAAGTGATCTTCCTAAGGTCACACAGCTGCTTCCGGTGTTGTTTGGTGGCTATTTCTGACTTGCTTCCTGCTAGTGTGGAAGGCCCAGGGGATCCAGGCCTGACATTTGCCTAGTGAGTGGGCTAAGGGGCTGCTGTCACACTGCCTCCCAGCAGGAAGGTGCCTCAAGTCACCCACAGTCACTGGGGCCTGTGTGAGGGGTTGCACCAAGCCTACATAACTCACCTGGGACCCTCGCCATTACAGGCCAAGGACATGGGTGTGGGTGCTAGAGGATAAGAAGCTCACAAGGGGGGCGGGGGTCTGGGGACCATGCTTTCAGGGGACATCTAGGTCAATTGGCATAACAAAGCTTATTAAGAAAATGTTCTGCATCCTACTTTGGTGAGTGGCATCTGGGGTCTTAAAAGCTAGTGAGTGGCCATCTAAGACGCATCAATTGGTCCCAACTCACCTGGAATAAAGGAGAATGACGAATACCAAAGTCACAAGGAAAGTGTTAGCCCAAGAGACAGAAAGGGCCACATAAATCAGAGACTTCATCAGCCTGAGACCAGAAGAACTAGATGGTGCCCGGCTACCACCAATGACCACCCTAACAGGGAACACAACAGAAAGTCCCTGATGGAGCATGAGAAAAGTGGAGTACAGAACTCAAATTATAGTAAAAAGACCATACTTAATGGTCTGACTAAGACTGGAGGATCCCCAGAAAGCATGGTCACTGGACTCTCCGTCAACTCAGAACTGAAACCATTCCTAAGGCCAACTCTTCAGACAAAGATTAGACTGGACTATGGGACATAAAATGATACTGGTGAAGAGTGTGCTTCTTAGCTCAAGTAGATACATGAGACTAAATGGGCAGCTCCTGTCCAGAGGTGAGATGAGAAGGCAGAGAGGGTCAGGAGCTGGTTGAATGGACATGGGAAATCAGAGGTGGAAAGGAGGAGTGTGCTGTCACAGAATAGGGAGAGCAATTAGGGTCATATAACAATGTATGTATAAATTTTTGTATGAGAGACTAACTTGAATTGTAAACTTTCACTTAAAGTACAACAATAAAATTAAAAAAAAAAAAAGAAACAAGAACTCACAAGGGACTTGAAGCTATGGTTTGGTAAACTGATTTGATGCCTTTCTCTCCTGGAAGGACCTCCAGCTACTGAGGGAACTAGCTGGTGTGTGTCAGTGACTAGACTGCCATTGTGATGGGGTGGGATGGGCTGGCAGAGTCAGATGGTGAAATAAGAGAGTGCTGGTGTCAGGGTGGCAGCTGGACCAAGAGGCCTGGTGACTAGCAGGCTTCACCTATCTGCTGGAGGTCCCTTTCTCTGGCTGCTTCCTGATTGCAGGAAGGGGCCATGTCGGTGCCACATCCTTAACATCACCTATCAACCTTCTCCCCATTTTCCAAGATGGCTGAATGACAAATCCAGCAGTGCAGGCTTGGGTCTGCTGCCCTGCGTCCCTCGTGTTCAGGAAGCTGTCCTCCCTGGGTCAGTCTCAACTGTGGGGCGGTGGCCTTGGATGGAGTCCCAGAACCTGAGGTTTTCTTGGGCTTGTGGTTGCAGTGATTGGTGCTTTGGGGCTTATAAATCAGGCTGGGAAACTTCTGATGCAGAGACTCTTCTGAAGGCCAGATTGGGTTCACAATTCCTGGTTTCGTTTTGCAAACAAGAGGCTTCACCTTTGTGAACCTCGGCCTTCCCTGCTGTCCAATGGGTTAGTGGCCAGCCAATCATTTATTTATCATTTACTGGGTGCCCTTGCAAGACAGCCAGGAATAAGCCCTGGACTGAGGATGGAACCTTGGAGTTCTAGTGGCAGCAAAGTCCTGGTCTTCTCCTTTGCACAATGGGCACCGGTTCACAGGGGCTAATGTGGGTGAAAGGAGGGGCTTTGAGGTCTGCAGAAGGGTCCAGGACGCTGGGTGCAGGATAAGAGTGGGTACCAAGTTCCCAGGAGCCCTGGTTGTGCAACGGTTAAGCGCTTGGGGGCTAACCAAAAGATTGGCGGTTAGAATCCACCCAGAGGCTAGAAGGAAGAAAGACCTGGTGATCTGCTCCTGGAAAGATTACAGCCTAGAAAACCCCATGGGGCAGTTTTACTTTGTCACATGGGTTCGCTATGAATCTAAAATCGATTCAAGGGCACTTAACAACAATAACACGATCCTGCCCCCCCCGCCCCCCGCCACACACACACACATATACACCGCGCCGAGTGAACTTATATCCCCACTTCCACCTCGAAGCGCTTTGAAAGCTCCCAAGGGCCAGGCAGGAGGTCAGGCTGCTGCGGTCACCCTGCCAGCGGCGCGGGTTCCTGCCCCAGCCGCCTTCTGAGGCGCCGCCTGCCATCGGACCAGGGCAGTGAGACCCGCACCGCGTCACCCCCGCCCGTGCGCCCTCAGGAGGCCGTGCTGGCGTCCGCCCCTGCAAGAACCGCCAGGGACCGTAGGTGGGGGCTGGAGGGTTTGAGGAGGGTGGTGGAGAGAAAGCCAAGAGGGAAAGCGTGAGAAGGGAGGGAGAGTCGGGGCCCCGCCCACTCGCCGGTGGCTGCGAGGGCTGAGAGGCTCCCGGAGGGGGCCAGGCCCGGGGGCGGGGCCTGCCGCGCGCGTCCCGCAACGTGTCCCCTTTCCCCGGTCCTGCCCCCGACCCTGTGCTTATAAACCGGGATGCGCGTCGCTGCCGGCCCCGCTCCGCCACCTGCCACCAACGCCTGGGCACCGGTAAGGAGCCTCGGGCCTAGAGGGGTCATGGGTCCCTTTCCCACTCCCTAGGCTATGGTCACCTTCCCCGGAAGCCCCCTCCCCCGCGCGGTCCGAGGGCGAGCCGAGGACAGAGGGAGGACTTTCTAGTCGCTGCGCGCCTTCCGCTGCGACTAAGGCTGGCGGGAAAGAGGCAGACGCCAGGGATTCTGTTGCTTAAACGCCTGCGGCTGGATTCCTCGGCTTCTCCGGTGGCGGGGAAGGGGTGGGGCACGAGTCTGGGGTCTGAGGAGTAAATTAGGCTATCTCTTCGTTCTTTCTGCATTTTTCTTCCCCGTTCCAGGCTCCTCTATGCCGTGAACCTCCAAAATGGAGACCTTGGAAAGTCTAGAGAGGGTGGGGGCTCCCGACCCTCTCGGCCCCTCTCTGATCCACTGTATCTGACTCTGCCTTTTTCTTTTTTTTCCTCTGCGTGAAACCAGAGTTCCAGCCCCACCTCAGCCCCTCACCCCCGGGGCTTGGGTGTATGGCTTTTCCTGAGCCTCAGTTTACCCTGGGCAGACGGGCGCCGTGACCCTCGCTGAAAGCCCCATTGCCTTGGGTGTGACAGGGGGCGGCAGACACAAGGTTTAGCCTCCTGAAAGGGATTTGCGCGGGGCGCAGGTGGGGCTGGTGGCCTCGCTTTGGGCAGCGGTGCCTGGTTTCCGCCTGGCTTTCGCACCGGGCGGGAGGGGCAAGTTCGCAGGAAATAGCCACCGTCTGGGTTGCTGTTGCCTTTGGCCCCTGTGGGCGGCTGCGCCCTCCAGGAAGAAATGGAGGAAATTCCCCTCTCATCCTGCCAGAGTTCCTCCTGACTCGAGGCCCAGTGACCCCGCCACCTCAGTATTCCTCTCTGTGGAGTGGGGGCGTCTCCTTGGGAGCAGCGCTGTCTGGCCGCCGATCTCCGGGCAGGAACAGACCTGTCGTTTCCCCAGGGGTAGATCGGGAGGGCCCTGGGCTTTAATCCCTCCTCTCCCAGTCCACAGCCGAGTGACAGGAGGGGCAGGTTTTGGAGTCCTGCAGACCCAAGCCCCAAAGGCAGGTGCAAATACACGAGACCTTGGGCAAGCCCCTCAGCTTCCCAAGCCTCAGTTTCTCCATCTGTCTGAGCTCGCACAGGCTCAGGGTTCAGGAGACTTTTGCAGATGTTAAGATGCCGTCGAAGAGCTCTGTAAACTGGCCCATTTAATCCTTTGGTAACTCAGTTATTTCCTGCTTTGAATTTTTGGTTGATACCATGTGTTTTCACTAATGGAAGCATGCTGAATCACTGACTGTGTCTGAATTTTTGGTAGGTAGTAAGGATTTTTTTTTTTCTTGCCCCCTCCCACAAGCCTACCCTAAGTGTTTAGATGTACATGTAACTCATTGTTGTAGAGTCGATTCTGACTCATAGCAACCCTACAGGACAGGGTAGAACTGCCCCACAGGGTTTCCAAGGAACGACTGGTGGATTCAAACTACTGACCTTTGGTTAGTAGCCGTAGCTCTTAACCACTGCACCACCAGGGCCCTGGTACATATAAAGTGCCAGTAATTATACTCTAGAGTACCCACCGGGGCCTACTGGTACATATGCATAACAAATAAAAATTTTCAAAATTTCTATTTTTCTTACCAAAAATTCAGACACCTCATGCAATACCCTATAAAAACAGTATTTTGCAGCACATGCCCATTTCTTGGGTTTCAAACAGTCATAAAGGCCCCTTCCTTGAGGCAGCACACACTGTCAGTGGGATAGCAGCTTCCCAGTAAACCCCAGAGGCTGAAAAATTTCATGGTCGCTATATGTACTGCCGGGCACGAAAAGGTTAACTCATTAATAAATGTCTGGGGTGTGGCACGCTGGGTACACGGCAGAGAAGGAAGCAGGGTCTCTGATCTCATGAGTTAGGTTCTGATGAGGGGAGACAGTAGAGGCAAAAACAGTCACACAGTGGGTGGGAACTCTGGTGATGGATCAGAACTGGAGGAGTCCCCATTCCAAACTAACTCTCACCTCTCACTCCCTTTCCCTAGCATCCCTTTCCCCAGCATAGCCAGGGCAGGGAGCCTGGAGGTGGGAGTCTGCCCCACAGCCAACTGTGCGTGATGCGGAGAAGTGATTCTAGCTCTGCTGAGAAGTGGACCTAGTGGATGAGTGGATGAATCTTGCCAGCTGAGCGCCTAGAATGAGGGCCAGGCAGGTGGTGGTATGGAGGGGGTAGGCTCCTGTTCTCAGCATAGTCCAAGCACCCCCGAGCATTCATATTTGCCCCTATCGACTATCTGCCTACTCTGGCAAGAATGCTTATGCACCAGGCTTGTGAGGTCAGCTGGCTCTGATAATAGCCGTTTCACCCTGGCCCATGGCCCCAGGGGCCTTGGGGGTGGAGCTAGCATTTGTGCCCAACTTGTGGGGGGTAAGGGTGGCCAGGCCCAGACACACCTGCTGTGCAAGTACTTTCTAATGCCTCATGGGTTCTGAGAGGCAAGCCAGGACAGCCGGATGTCTTCATTTGAGCACTGAGCATGCAGCTTCTGAAGTGAGTGGCTTGCCTATGGGCACTTATGTGGACAGAGGTAACCTCACTGGAAATGAGGGTCCAAGGCTCTGGTTTCTGCTGCAACACTTTGGGTTTGGACAAAGTTGATCTTCAGGCCCTGGCTCCCTCCCTCCTGCGAAGGAGCCTCCCTCGCCAGACTTAGGGTAGGCCAGGCACCCACAGGCACTTACTTCAGCATTATTAGTAGAATAAATAAATGAATGAGTGTACTCTTTCCAACATAACCAAATGCTTTTAAGAGAAGATTTATATATCTCTCACCAGGGTCTGGGAAGGCTTACTTAGTCCTTTCTACCCCCTTCCTCAGAGCATTTTCATTAATACTGGAGACTAAATCTTCCTAAGCCAAAGCAGACTCCCAAATGACTCCCAACCCTGAGTGGAGGAAAGTGGCTGGAGGGTTGGGGTCCCTGAGAGAGTTTGGTGTTCCTGATTTGATTCTCAGGCCTCTGGAATCCTGCAGCTGAGATTCAGCCAGTTCAGTGTGTGGCTCCCTTGGGCAAGCCTCTTGACCTCAGCTTCCTCACCTGTCTGTCTCTCACCAAGGCTGTGGTGATAGAAATGAGCTGAGACTTGTTAGTGAATGGGAAGGCTGAATCCGGTAGAAGGAGGACAGTGGCACCTTCAGGTCAAAGTACAGAATTGCAGCCTAGCTCTATCAGACACAAATTAGGATGGCCAAGTGATGAGAGATGAAATCCTAGATTGAGGAGACCCTAAGTAGGAGAGAATTCTTATGGCCTAGGTGGAGCCAAGGTTTTTAAAAAAAATTATAATGAACCCAGCTCAGTTGAGTTAGAAAGTTAGGGAGAGGTTCTATAGGAACATTCCATAAGGCTGTAGTCCTAAACTACATTATGCAGGACATTACGAGAAAGAAAAGACCAGTGATGATTCATTGGAAATTTTATTCTCTAGAAGATGTATAAAGCGAAGGGGAGACTATCTGGGGTCTGTCAGAGGCCAGAGAGGATAGTGAATAGTGTAGTAAAGAGCACGGAGTCTGTTGTCAGCCTGGATTTGAATCCCAGCACTGCCATTCACTAGCTTTGTGACCTAGGGCAAGTTGCTTAACCCTTCTGAGAATCAGGTTCCTCATATGTAAATAGGAAGTAATAGTAGCCTCTATCTTGAAATGATATGTGTAGGGGAACTGAACCCAGTGTTTGCTCTTGTAACCATTCCAGCTCTGAAACGTTAGAGTTGCACAATTTTCCTTAGTGTTGAGTGAGTACCCAGGCTGGCCCAGCATGTTCACTGGAAGCTGGTAGTGTGGCTCTAGCTGAGGCCATGGAGAACGTCCCCTGCCTTGCCAACTAAGGCCCAGCTGGCAGGCGTCTGGGCATGAGACCACCTTCCTCCCTTCTTCCAGGTGTTTCTGTCCTAGTAAGGGATGTCTCGGCTGGCACTGGGAGCTGGGAGGCACAAATGTTCTTGGCCTAGAGGAAGGCAGGCTGAGTTCAACCAGGATGGGCCAGGCGCCTCCCCCAGGAAGGAAGCTCAGTGTCCTAGGATGTCAGAGCTAGAAGGGCTTTTGGATCCGAATGCAAATGATGAAACTGAGGCCTGTAGAGCGAGGGACTGGCTCAAGGTCAGCCTGTGGCAGTGTTAAGGAGAGTTTAGTGGGCACATGCTTGATGCCGAGCTTTGGGCTCCCCTCCTCCACCCAACTCCATAGCATCTTATTGAATCCTCACCATTGCCTTATGGGGGAATGGAGGATGGGCTGTTCTCACCCCCATTTTGCAGATGAGCAGCCAGGTTTGGAGCTTAAGCAACTTGAACCCAGGTCTGGCTGACTCAGCCACTGTGTTTCACCCATAGTGAGTACTCACTCGTGGATTGTAGCTGTGGTTTCTTCTTCTTCCCCATCTCTCCCTCCCCAGGTCAAAGCCTCAGCTTCATCACGCAGCCCAGCGATTGCTCTGGCAGAGGGAAGAGGGAACTTCGCCAGATGCTGGGAGGGGAGGAGCTGACGCAAATGTCAGATTACATTATTTTCCTTGCCCACCTGCCCAGCTAATCTCTGTGCGTTCACACACAGACCCAAATACACCACACGTGCACAGATACACACACTGGGGCACTCAACGCACACACACATGCACCCCCTCAGGTATACATTCCTGGGGCAGCCATTCTTGCATACCATTTAGATCCAGTGGTACCCACTTTACAAGGGTCTTTGGTGCCTACATGTGCACGCAGCCTGGCACACAGAAGGGGCTCTGTAATTTCTGGTGAGAGCATGCATAGCATTCCAGACTGTGGGGATTCTGGCTCCTCTTTTAACAGAGGGGAACTGGCCTTCAGAGAGTAGAACCAGCAGGGTCGTTCTGAGTGTCTGCCATATGCCAGGTATGGTGGGACTACTAAGGCAAACAGGGGCAGGTGAAGGTGATCGATCTGTCTCCATGGAGCTGCCTCTTCTGCCCCCACCTGTCCTCTTGACTCCAGGTGCCTTTGAAAAGGGGTAGAATCAGGGGTGTCTTTTAGAATGGGGCAAATCTTGGTACAGCATTATCTCTCCCTATTTCAAGCCTACCCCAATCTACAGCCAGGGTGTCTGGGCCACCTGAGGCTTCCCAGACCACAGCTTCCCCCAGCACCTTCCTTCCCTGAGGCTTCCCAGAAAAGGGTAGCTTTGTACCTCCCAGCAGGGGGGTTATGGAGTCCAGCTGATCTGGGTTTGAATCCAGGCTCTGCCACTTATCAGCTAAGCCAGGCCTTGGGTAAGTTCCTTAACCTGAGTCTGTTTGTTTCTCTGTCTTGAAAATGGGGATAACACCCACACTGAAGGGCTTGGCATGTGACGGATATGTTCATTATCTTGATTGGGGTGATGATTTCATGGGTGTATACACAAATTGAAACTTACTAAATTGTACACTTGAAATATGGGCAGTTTATTGTATGTCAATTATGTCTCAATAGAGCTGTTTAAAAAATAGGCAACAGGATACACCCCACCCCTAACCACACCACCATCACACACAGTCCCACAGGGTGAGAACACAGGCACTCCCTAAGAGCTTCCTGGTACAGGAGGTTGGATGGAGGCTCTGAGGCTCCTGGGCCTCCCTGCTTAATGAGGCTGCTCAAAATGAGTTCGGGCGGCTGGGGAGGCCGGATTCAGGGCCCCTGGCATCACCTGGCAGTCATGCCAAGCAGCTGAGCAGCTTCTGCCTTTGCAGAGTGGTTTGCTGAGCTGTGAAGAGAGATTCCAGAAGCAGAGAACTCACGCTACCAATTCCACATACTTACTACCCCGAGTCCTTCCTGCCTCCCTCTCCTCTTCCTTCCCTCCATCCTTGATGCACCAGTTGCCTGGCTGCAGTTACCATGGGTACCATCTCCTGGCCCCAGGGTCTAGGTCTGCTGAGTCACCAGCAGCCCAGGTCCTGGGCCATACAGCCCAGCCAGCCAGGACAGGGCCTGGCAGGCAGGTGAATACCCATTGGAGGAGAGAGTTGCGGGCATTGATCAGAATTCCCCTGCTCCCAGCCTCACTGTTCTAGAAGCTGTTTTCCCCTCCCAGTCGAAACGACAGCAAGGGCCTGTGAGAGGGGGGCAGGCCAGTGAGCAGGCTTGTGAGATGTGTTAGGGACTGCTTGGTTCTGTCCATGTGGCCAGGCTCTAGGTCATACATGGCTGGATGACCCAGGACAGCCACTTCACCTCTTCAAACCTCCAGGCATGTAGGAAGTGCTCAGGACACAGGAATCTGCATCACCACAGTGGCAGCGGTAGGTAACTCTTCTGGGCTCCCAAGCATCTGGAGGGATGGCCACAGCCTTTCCCACTGGTGTCTAGTAAGGAGCCCCAGTTGACTCCAACTTGGTCAGACTACAGCGGAAATGCTCCCACCCAGACACAAACCTGCCTCCTCTAAATGTGAGACAGTGGGCCAAGTGTCCATGGAGCCTGGAACCAGATGGCCTGGGTTCAAATGTGGCCCTCCCACCTGCTGACCATATGACCTCGGGCAGATGATCTTGCCTTTCTGACCCTTGGTTTCCTCTTCAGCAAAGTGGGCACAGTAGCAGCACCTATTCTCAGGACCCCATGGACGTGCTGGGGGAGGTAAGAAAAGCATTAATTCAGCCCAAAGGGTCAGGGAGAGCCTGCTGGACAGAAGGAAGAGCGACTGCAAGGGCAGGGAGCCAGGAAGCTGTGGAGATGCAGGAAGCTTGAGTGTAGCTGAGGAGTAGGAACAGGTGGGAAACGGGCATCTGTGCCTGCTGCAGAGCTCATCTAGGTCTCCAGGGAAAGATCCCTGGATTAGAGAGAGGCGTTATGCCTCTGCCTGTCTCCAGCCCTCTCTGGGACTCAGTTTCCCCACCTGCACATTGGGGGAGCAGGTCTCTGAGCCCCTCCCCACTGAGCATTTTTATTCACTGAGGTCCACAATGGACCCTGAGCACCTCAGTGAATAAAAATTTGAAAGAGCCACAATGCCTAAAATCCCAATGAGTGAAGGTTAAATCGGGCACCAGGTGGGAAAGGTTCAAGTGGGAGGCAGCACTGCATGCTGGGTAAGAGCCCAGGTTCTGGAGCCAGACGCAGACATGCACTTTAACCTTGAGCCCCAGTGTCTGCCTCTGCAGTGGAAATGACAGCACCTACTCCATGGGGTCATGATGAGCTTCAGGGCCTGGCACTGTCTGCTTCTCAAGTAGCGGTTGTGAGTGGGGACATGTCTGCTTGGGGGCTTGAGGCTTGGGGCCACGGCCCTTCCAAGCTTCCTAACTGCTGTGCATCCTTTCCTCCTCCTGGCCCTGGCCCAACAGCTCAGCTCAGATGTCATCTCTCACCAGTAGAGGATTGACTCAGAGATGTACCTCCCCGCTGCCAGCCCCAAGTTTTGCTCTCAGCATTCCGGGTCCCAGCATGGGATGGGGTGTGTGTGTGCAGGGTCAGGGTTTCCAGGGTGGAGAGGGTGTGGCTGGAGGAAGGACAGCTCTTCAGCTGGCCCTGATTATGGGTAAACATCCTGTTCCCAACCCACCAGTGACAGGTTGTCCAGGGGATAAGGCCACCGAAGGCAGAGGTGGGGGCTAGGGGCGGGGCTGGGGGACCGGCGGGGGGAAGCTGAGCCGGGCAGGCGAGGACCTTCCAGCTCCTGGTCACTCACAGTCTTCCTCAGCTCCCTCCAGACAAGATGTCCAGCAAAGCCTCCGTGGTTCTGGCCTACAGTGGTGGCCTGGACACCTCCTGCATCCTCGTGTGGCTGAAGGAACAAGGCTATGATGTCATTGCCTACTTGGTGAGGAGGTGCCCTGTGTGTCTGTCTTTCCACCTGTTTGTCCTGCTGCTCAGCCAGCCAGCCCTTGGCCAGTCCCTGGTTTGTGCCCTTTCTCCTTACTGTGACCTCAGGCCTGTCAAATGGAAACCACGTCCATTTGAGGGCTGTTGGGAGTGGATGGTGCTTGCCCAGGACTCACCGCAGGGGGCTGATGCTCCTCTCATGCTCTCCTTTCTGCCCTCCCTGGGCTGATTGGGCCTCTCTGTTTCTGCTCCCCAGGCTAACATTGGCCAGAAGGAAGACTTCGAGGAAGCCAGGAAGAAGGCGCTGAAGCTTGGAGCCAAAAAGGTACCAAGTGGGATGCAGGATTTGGGGTTGAAAGTGGGGTTGTGACACGGTGGAGGCAGCAGTGCACGCACTGACCCAGAGCTCCTTGCCCCTGCACTCCTTCTGATTTGTCCTCTTGCTTCCAAGAGTATGAGATTGCTTCCTTCTGCTCTCAGATGCATGAGGATCATCTTCCTGCCTCCCTCAAGCACCCAGCCACCCACATATCCCAACTCTCCATCCAGCCATCTTTTCTCCACTCATCCAGCCATCCACCTGCCCATCTCCCTTTTATCTTTCTGTCCACACATCCATTCCTCCTTCCATCCACCCATCCATCTATCCATCCACTTGTCCATCCTTCTTTTATTTTTATTTTGAAATAATTATAGACTCACAGGAATTTGCAAAATTATTACTAAGATGGGGAAAGGGGGGAATGGGGTACAACTGTTTAACGGGTATGAGCTTTCCTTCTGGAGTGATGAAACATTTTGGAACCAGACAGAGGTGATGATTACACAACACGGTGAACGTACAAAATGCAGCTGTGTTGTTCACTTTAAAATGGTTAATTTTATGTTATGTGAATTTCACCTCAATAAAAAAAAAAGATACAGAGTTCCATGATCCCTTTGTTGTTGTTAGGTGCTGTCAAGTCGATTTTGACTCATAGTGACCCCATGTGACAGAGTAGAACTGTCCCATAAGTTTTCTAGGCCATAATCTTTATGGGAGCAGATCACCACTGGGTGGGTTTGAACTGCCAACCTTTCAGTTCATAGCTGAGCGCTTAACCATTGTACCACCAGGGCTCCTGTGACCCCCCGTTAGACTCTTAAGAAATTATTGAGAACCCCCGGAGCTTTTGTGGATTATATCTATTGATATTTATCACATTATAGATAAAAGCTGACATTAAAAAAAAATTACTTCATTTAAAAAAGAACAGTAACAACATTACGTGTTAACATAAGTTATACATTTACTTATTAAAAATAATATTTTCCCAAACAAAAAATTTTAGTAAGAATGTCATTGGTTTACATTTTTGCAAATTTCTTTTAATGACTGGCTTAACAGAAGATAACTGGATTCTTGTAGCCATTTCGGCACTCAACCTAACATGCATTGTTTTGGTTGAAGTTTATGAAGAAAATCTGGCCTCACAGATGTATCGTTGGAAAAGAGAGAAGGATTTTAATAGCCTTTTTCAGAGAATTAGGGACATTCTTTGATATGGCACCAAAATTCAACAAGTGGTAGTTTCTTAAAGATTAGTGTAACATGGAATCCGAAACTGTGTCAGTCCACTTTTTGTACTCGGTTGCATTAAAATCCACTGGTCCATCTTGCACTTTGAATGGATCTTTTACTAGTGCCTAATTGTGTCACATTACGCATTGGTCATTTGGAAAACATTGTTTCACTGAGTTAAGCAGATCTTCCAAGTGTGGACACATTTCATTATACAAAATTAAAATATCACATTTGTTAACATCACCACTACTCATATCAGAGGTATCAGGAAGCTGTCAAATTCACTGAGGTGGATAAGAGCTTTCTAATCTAATGTTTGCTTGAAAGCTTGAGTTTTATCATTAGCAACAAACACTCTCAGTTTTCCTTGAGGTGACAGGCTCACTTCATTCATTTTTGTGAAAATGTCTACCAAAAACCCAAGTCTGAACGACCATATTTTGTCTGTTAGTTCTTTCAAGTTGTTCTTTCAATGTTCCACGAAAAAAGTGGCTAGTTCAGCTTGCAACTCAAACATGGCACACTGCTTTTCCTTCATTGCTTTGGTATGAGCAAAAGTGCTTTGTATGTACTTCACATTTTGTCCTCAAGGGCTGAGATTTAGTAAAAATAATTGTTTTTATTGCTTCATCAAGGTCACTCATAAGTGAAATCGGCACTGTGAGATCGCGGCATGAGGAATGCAATGGTTATGAGCACTGTTTGGTGCCTCTGCCTCCGTTCGTGCTGAGCCAGGCGTTTTACCCATCATTGCTTTTTCAACATCAGTGCAAATGTCAACATAGTGAAAAGGCAAATAACATCTTAGTATCATTATAAAAGCTTTTTGACTCAGAGTCTTCCTGAAAGGATTTGGGTACTCCTGGGGGGTCTACAGACCACATTTTGAGAACTGCTCCTCTAAATCAGGGTTTCTCAACCTTGGTACTGTTGACAAGTGGCCAGCTGTCCTGTGCATTGCAGGCTGTTTAGCTGCATCCTTGTCCTTTACATACTAAATGCCAGAACATCCCCCAACACTGCTAGCTGTGACAGCCAAAAATATCTCAGACATTGCCAAATGCCCCCTGGGTGACAGAATCTCCCCTGGTTGAGAATCACTGCTTAGATTGCAAGTAAGTTTCATCTCGTGTCCAGAATCCTGTGTTGGGAGGGATTTAGGAAGCACAATCAGTTTCAGCTGGATGGTGCATCAAGATTGATTAGCAATGCCTGCCATGATTGCAGGAGGGAAAGGATCAGTACGGTATGCTGGGATTAATTAGTGATGTCTACTGCAGATGTAGAAGGAGAACAGTCTGCCATGATCAACTAGCAGATTAGTTACGTCTGCCATAGATGCAGGCCATTTGAGACCCTGGGGCTCTGTATTCTGATTGGGTCCCCAGTCCTTGCCGAGGCTCCTTCTCATGGGCTCCTCTCCCCATAGGTGTACATTGAGGATGTCAGCGAAGAGTTTGTGGAGGAATTCATCTGGCCTGCTATCCAGTCTGGCGCATTGTATGAGGACCGCTACCTCCTGGGCACCTCTCTTGCTAGGCCCTGCATTGCCCGCAAACAAGTGGAAATTGCCCAGCGGGAGGGAGCCAAGTATGTGTCTCATGGTGCCACAGGAAAGGTAAGGCAAAAGATCTATGGCGCTCGGGAGAGGTGGGCAGAGGGAGAAGAAGGCAGCTTTGCCCACAGCAGAGGGGCCCACAAAAGACACAATGAAAACGATGAGTAATCTTCGAGCAGTTTCAGGCTTTGCGTCCAGAATAGAGTCAGATGCTCAGACTGGCCATTGTTAAAATCCAAATAAGAGTAATAGTCACAGCTAATTACTGAGCAGTGGCTGTGGGAGAAGCAGCAGGGGTCAGGACTGAGCCATGAGGTTTGACCTCATCCTGGGAGCAATTGACTAGGATCAAGGGAGGGTTTCAGGCCAGAAGTGGGTGGCCGGGGACTCCCCCAGCAGGATGCTTGGGAATTGTTCTGAACTGCAGTTGGCTTCTGTGGAAGAAGGAACTGGTAAGCTTTTCTCACAGACTGTGGCCCTATTTTTCATTAACATACCAGTAGTGAGCACATTTTGAGCAGGATAATAGAAAACCAGACGAGGAGAGGTTGACAGATCGGGCTGGTCAGGGCATGTGAGTGCTGCCTCTCACTTCAGGGCGTCGGTAGAAGTGCAGGAGAGCCCAGAGGTTGAGGAGTTGGGCCCCGGAGGCTCTCAGAGCTGGGTTCAAATTCTGCCTCCACCACTTTCATGCTGCCTGACTTTGGCAAGTGACTTCACCTTCATGAGTCTCTATTTTCTTGTCTGTAAAATGGGGATGAAGTACAACCTCGTTCATAGGTCATTAGAGCAATGGGTAGGATAATTCCAATAAAATGCTCAGCAGAGGCCTGGCACATAGTGAATGCTCCATGGAAGGGAACTGCCTTCATCATATGACAGTCACTTGTTCTGGGAGCTCCAGCAGGCAGAGGAAAGTCAATGGGAGGCAAATGTCAGAGCAGAACGAAGAAGCTCCCAAGCCATCTCATCTGCCTATGATGGAATGAATGGGCCGGTGAGCTCCCCATTCCAGGAGGCATTCAAGCTGAGGCCAGGGATCCATTCGGGAAGGGCTTCCTGCCTGCAGAAAGTTGCTCTTTATTGTACCATCAGAGCTGAGGATGGGCGGCATTCAGGGCCGATGGAACGAGTGTATGGGTGTATGGGTGGGTCTGGCCCTGGCTTGGGTAGCTCCTGGGCTCCAAGGTGAAATTCCACCGCTCCCAATCCCCCCCACCCCGCCCCACCTCCATCCATGTGCAGCTGGGAGCGGCCATCAACAGTTGTGTGTGCTATTCCTCCAAGTGGCCACCAGAGGGTACCAGAGACTCAGATTTGAGGCCGGCCAGGCTGCCGCCCCCAGAGGAAGCGGCTGGAGGAGGAGGCGGCTGCGGTGGTGGCCACCACCCAGGGTCCTCTTTTCCACATTCCGGCCCTGCAGGTCTTTGGTTCTGAGAGGAACACCCTTTGCGAGGCATTCTGTGGCTGCTTGGGGCTTGGGGCATCCCTGCAGTTCACACTCAGAGGCCACAAGAGGGACCGTTAGGCTTGGAAACATCGGCTTGGGGGCCTCCAAGACCAGTGGTGGGAAGGTCACAGGGGATGGGGAGCAGAGTTCTACCCTGGTTCTGCCGTCTGTTTTCTCTGCAAGGCGTATTCCAGTGCCTCAGTTTTCCCTTCTTTACAGTCCTTAGGAAAGCCGCTAGCAGACCCTGCAGAACTTTCTGCAAGGGGGTCACAGTGATGGTGAGAATGCTCCCCATTGCTGGGGGTGAAACAGGTGGGTGACTCCCCTACATCCACAGAGGAGACTCATCGTGGCCTCTGGGAGGGTGCCAGCCCTCAGATTCTGGCCCCTGAGTCAGGCGGTGGAGGGAACCAGGGCCCAAGGGTCCCTGTGCCAGGCACACAGACATTGCCCTCATTCATCTATTCATTGATGGGGCACTGGCTCTCCTCCAGGCACTGGCCCTTATAGGACAGGCTTGGTGGAGGACCTTGGAAATTGCGGGGTTGGGGGGCTCACCCAGCAGGGGGTCAGGGAGTGGGGGGATGCTGAAACAGTCAGGAAGAGCAAGAGTTTGCCAGTGGAGCCAAGTCCAGAAGAGGTATTCCAGCCTGCAGGAACAGCCTGTGCAAAGGCCTGAAGGCAACAGGCACCTCCCTCCGAGGCAGCCCCCAGTCCAGGCAGCACTTGGAGCAGAGAGCACTGCTCACCGCACTATGACCCTGAAACCTCCCCACACAGAAGGATGCATAGAAACTGGGGGGGCTCTTCCAGGGCCTCTGCTCTCCTCCCAGATTTGGAAGAAGGACCTAGAAATTTGAGCCTGAGGCTCTGGCGGGGTGTGGGGTAGCAGGAGTTTTGTAAATGGCACCATCTGTATGGCTATCCCAGGAGCAGATGGGAGACCCCCCTCCCACCCCTCCAATCCCAGTGGGTGCTGCACTGCACTTACACACGTCTGTATCTGTGTCAACATGTGGACACATGTGTGAGACACTGCATCACCCCTCCCCACCCAAGTTTCCAGAGGGGCTTCCCCTGGTGCTGGGCATGCTGGGGCTGGGGAGAGGAAGGACTAGATAGGGCCCTTGACTCCCGTCTGGGGCAGAGTTTGAACCAAAGAGGCCTGTTTGCTTGGCTTCTTTGAGGGTCTCTGAATCCCGAACAGATGGGTATCCCCATGGCGGGGCTTGAGGAGGCACAAGGCGCTTTTGTGTTGGGGAAACGTGAAGCCGTAGGGGGAGGAGGTAGGGAAGGAGACTTTAGGGGAAAAAATAGCCAGGATATGCAACATTTGACTATGAGCTTTACAAATCTAAAATGAGGCTGCTGTTTATTATAGCAGCTATTGCAGCAGGAACTGCCCCTGAGTCATTGCTTCCTGCCTCAGTTTCCCCATCGCTAAAATGGGGATGATAATAAAACAAGCCTCATGAAGCTGCTGTAAGGATTCAATGAATTGGTTATGCACAGAGCTCAGACCACTTACATGAGTGTGGGCTCTTGGGATGGTCCTGTTGTCTGATGGCTGTGTGACCCTGAGCAAGTGACTTCACCTCTTTGAGCCTCACTTTCCTCATCTGTAAAACAGGGTTAAAAAATCCTCCTGGCCTCAGGTAACTCTCCCATGTGACAGTGCATAGTAGGTGCTCACTGAAAGGACTGGATGGGGGTGAGTGGGGATGGCTGGTCTTGAGCAGCTCGTGGCCCCAGAGCTGCCAGCGGAGCAGCCCAACCCCACAGCTCCTGGCTCCGCGGAGAGGGGCTGAGACCTGTATTTCTGCATTGCCTGACAAGACTCTGGAAAATAACATGTTATTCCTGCCGCTGCCTCGCTGTGCCTGCGCAGTTTTCACAGTAGGGAAAAGGTTCCTCTGTTATTTCTGCAGCGCTTAAGTCTCCCTCCAGGCGCCAAGTGGATGGGGAGCAGGCAGGACACTGGCCGCCATTTTCACTCCAGGGACTGAGCGGGGCTGGCTGGAGCTGGTGCTGCTGGCGCTTCTTGGCCCTCCTCCTCCTCCTCTTCCTCCTCTTCCTCCTCCTCCTCCTCCTCCTCCTCCTCCTCTTCAGTGTGGCCAGTGTGTTATAAGCTATGTCTTAGACAATGTTCACATCTCAGTGGGGTATAGAGATTAGTCTTCATTTTACAGCCAAGAACACAGATGCAAAAAGGCAGGGCGGCTTGTATGGGAACAGAGGGGGCTGGGACATGCGGGCTCAGGTCCTGGCTCTGCCTGGCTGTGTGCGCTTGGATCAGTCCTTTTCCCTCTCTGGACCTCAGTTTCCCTGTCTGTGAAGAGAGGAGCTGAGAAGTAAAGGGCCTCAGTGATCACCTGGTTTCACATACGCCCCCCAACCAGCCATTGCATACGTGTGGAAACAGGCTCAGAGAAGCAACAGGAATCCCAGTTTTATAGGTGTGGTGGTGGTGTAGGGTGTGGTTTCAGCATCATGGGGCTCATGCCCTGAAGTGAGCTTGTCCTCTAGGCTGGAGTGGGGTGTGGCCAATCCTAGCAGGTGGGTGCTGAGGGGTGTGGGCTGCCTGGAGAAGGGGCAGAGCTGGGCCCCTTCTTACACTTGGAGTCTCGGAGATGCCCAGACATCCAGCCCCTGGGAAAAATGGGTGTGTGTGTATGTCCCCTGCACACTCTCACATCACACCTACGTACTTTCTGAACTTGTGCACATACATGAAAGCACATGCATACCTTATATCCCAACATGTTCCCAGACATGCACACCCCTACAAGTGCACACGCTACACTCTGCCATGTGTTTACACACGTACCCTCCTCTACCCCAACATGTTCCCAGACACGCACACCTCTACATCCCCCTATATGTCCACACAAGCCCACCTATACACCTTGCCACAGGTCCACACATGCACGCTCGCACACAACATTCACCACCAAGATACACACAGCTTGGCACACATGCTGGGCATGTAGGCATGCAGTCCTGCACACATGGCTTGGCTCTATACACAGAAAGTCCTGGGTTCAAGTCATTCAAGTCCTGACTGCACCTGTGGGATAGAACCTGATTACTCAGCCCCTCCAACAAAGCCCTGCTGCCTCGTCTGTATAACAGGCTAATAATAGAACCCACCTCAGAAGGTTGTGAGGTTGAATGAGAGACACATGTGAAGTATCTAGGGGCCTACCTTGAGCAGCCCTCAATATGCTGTTTGTGGTCACCTGTGTGCACACCCCTTACCCCCAGCTCCCTCCCGTTCCATGGCTCCTGACAGTCCTCTGTTCTGTGTTTCAGGGGAACGATCAGGTCCGGTTTGAACTCACTTGCTACTCACTGGCCCCCCAGATTAAGGTAAGATGTTGCTCTTCCCCTTACGGGGTGGGTGCTGGGGGCTGAGACCTTGGGGGTGGGGGCATAAGGCTCTAGGAGGTTCCACAAGACAGGGACAGTGTGCACCTGAATCTTCTCCCATGGTAGGCAATACCCATCAGACTAGATTCGAGAACACCTGGGAGGATCTTTTCTAGGGAGGCTGCCTTGACTCACCCCGGCCTCGAGAAGCAGCGTCTTCTCCCTGGCCCTTCGTTTTTCCCAGAGGTGGCTGTCCAGGTGTCTGTGTAGCCCTGAGCACTGAACAGTAGGAGGCCATTGCTGCCCTTCAACAGTGTCCTTGACTTCCCCAGATCCGGCCACCTGGGTGCAGGCCAGAAAAGTTCCTGGACATGGTCAGGCTGATTTCTGGGCTGCTCATACCCTTTCCACCCCCTCTGTGGGCTGCTAATGCCCTGGTTCCTTCCTGGCTGCCTGTGCCCTTACCCCTAGCATCCCTGACCCTTTCCTGAGATTGGAATAACCAGGATTTCAGGGAATCAACTGCCCTTGCCCATAGCATGCCCTCCAGGAGTGAGAGTCCATGTCTAGACTATCCAGCTGGCAACTACTCCCCTCTGCCCCTACAGGCCTGGGTCTGGGTCCATCCATCCAGCCATACATACATTCATCTATCCATCTACCCGTCCATCTGTCTATCCACCCATTCATCCATCCACCCACCGAACTGCCCATCCATCCACCCTCCCACCTACCTATTCATTCCCCCACCACACATTCATCCACAACCCACCCACCCATTCATCCATCCACCCACCCAACTACCCATCCATCTGTCCATCCATCCACCCACCCACCCACCGATTCATTCACCCCCCCACCCATTCATCCTCCACCCACCCACCCACCTACACATCCATCCACCCACCTACCCATCCATCCATCCATCCATCCATTATTCACTGGGTGCCTAGTGCCAGGCTCCAGGGGTACAGCCAACAAGGCTGGGGCTCCTGGTCCAGAGCAGCACTGAGCAATAGAAACAGAGCACATGCCACAAATGTAAGCCCCATGTGTAATTTAACATTTTCTGCTAGCTACATTAAAAAATGTATATATGAAAAAGAAACAAGCAACATTAATTTTAATAATATATTTCATTTAACCCAATATATCCAAAATATCATTCCACATGTAATCAATGTAAAACAATTATTGATGAAATGTTTTACATTCTTGTTTTTGCACTAAGTCTTGGGAATTCGGTGTGGGTTTGACACTTGCAGCACATCCCAGCCAGGACTCACTGCATTTCACGGACTCAGTGGCCGCACTGGCTCACGGTCGCCATGTTGGACACGTAGGCCTGGAGCATGAGCTCCTCTGAGGCACAGCAGGCCACTTTGGGAGAAAGCTAAGGAAGATTTGCCCCCTCCCAAGCACCCCAAGGGGCTCTAAGAAGTTTAATTTTTTTCTTTTAAATGAACCGTCTTTCTCTGCCCCTTTAACCAGCCAGCAGCTGTTGGGGGAGGGGAGTGGCCTGGAGGTGAGCAGTAATGAGCTCTAATGAGCTATTTTGACCCCAAACGCCAGGCTGCTAAGAAGCCCTGGACAGTAGCTGCTTGTTGACTTGCTGGAGGCGGGCATCAAGGGCCCTTCCCCCCAGTTCCCACAGCAGCTTGGGGGGCCAGAGTGTCCGATTTCTGGGCCTTTGTCTGAGGAGGCCAAGCTCAGGGGCTGGGACGGGGCTGGTGCTGGTTCCCAGTGTGTGGAGCCTGGTCCAGGGGCTGCCCATTCTCGGGCTGGGGGGCGGTGCAGAGGATAGTAACAGGCCCCTCTACTCTATCACCCTAGCCACGGCCCTGGTCAGCTCCACAGCCCAGAAATCAAACCAGCTTCTCCATTTAGATGGCACCCCCTCCCCATCTGAAGTTGTTGCTGGCAGAGGAAGGGGCTTGGTGAGCCCGCTGAGAAGGAAGGGACTGTCCTTCTCATGGACCTGTCCCTGACCCTCTCAGGCCAGTGAGGCCCACATGGAATGAGGCTGGTCTCCCTCAGGGCTTGGACTCCCCCTACCCCACCTCCTTTCCCTCCACTACTCAGAGCAGTGTGGGGTACAAGAAAGAAGGGAGCAAGAAGAGAAGTGAGGGGGGCATATGTGGTCTCTGGGCCCCACCGTCCAGGAGCAGGGCCAGGCTGGGAGACAGCAGCTCCCTGGACCCTTTCTTGAGTCCCAGCAGTGGAGGAGTCTTGGCCCTTTGGCAGAGGGCACTGGGAAGGACCTTGAGGCCTATTGAGTTCAAACCCTCACATCCCAGTTGGGGAGACTGAGGTGCAGAGGGCAGAGACCCACTTGAGGACACCACCTGCCATTCTGCCATGAAGCTGGAGGATGACCTCTCTACAGCCATCCCCCAGCTGTTCCCCTCCTCTGTCTAATGCCCCACCCCCACGGGCTGCATCATCTCTGGGGACACAGCAGGAGACCCCCAGTGACTACTGGAGGTTTGGGCCCCTTCCCAGAGGGCAGCTCTGCAGCCAAAGGCCTAGAGAAGCCAGCAGCTGGGCCTCCCAGTCCTGACTTCTTGCCCTGTGCCCAGGTTATTGCCCCCTGGAGGATGCCGGAGTTCTACAACCGGTTCAAGGGCCGCAATGATCTGATGGAGTATGCAAAGGTATGGCTGAGTCTACACCATCGCCCCGCCCTGGCCTACTGCCCTCTCCACTCTCCTCCCTGCTCAGGGGCTGTCTGGCCACAGCACTAGGTCCAGGATGGATCCCCATGTGACGGCAGATTGAACCTCTGTCCCGACCACCCCTATGGCACCTGTTGTCCCCTGGGCAAGTCCCCTAGAGGTGTGGTCATCAGCCTGGTCCTTTGCCTGGGCTGGGCGTCTCCAAGGAAAGTCCCCAGCCTATTGAACCAGAGGGTGCTGGGCTCACCCTCCCTCCCGTTCCCGAGGAAACGGAGGCCGGAGCCCTGCTCCCCACCTCTGCAGTGTGTGTCACTGGGAGGACGGCTGGCGGGTGTGAGTGAGAGGCCGTTCTCTGCACAGGACCTCAATTACCTGGTAGCGAGTTGTCCCCAGCACTCTCCCAGGAACAGGTAGGCACTCTGAGGGGCAGTGGAAGACAAAGGCTTTTGTCGCAGCAGCCTTTTGAAGTACAAGTTGCAATAAAACATATTGGAAGTTTTGCATCAAGATCCTTAGCCGCTCTTCAGGGTACCTTTCTTTTTAGCGACTCGATGGCAGCTCTTGACAAACAGCCTCAATCAATCAGACAGGGAAAAAGCAACTCGGTGCACACACCAGAAAATTGCTCAGGTTTTTAAATAGCAGTCACCAGGGCTGGCTGTGAGCTCTCACCACAGCCAAGGTGCCGCGTCGTAGGGGACGTGGCGGGGACGCTGCGGGGACGCAGCCCTGCCTTCGCTGCCAGCATCCCATTAAGACCTGGAGAGCCGGGAGGAAAGATCTTCTCTACCATCTGTTGTTTTATTATTAAGAGGGGAGTTTACAAGAGCAAGCCCATATGTTGCCAAACAAATTGTCAAATAGCGGAGCTATTAAGAGAGCTGAGGTTGGCGAGGGTTTTTTTTTTTTTTTGTCCCCCTCTTCTCCTTGATGATACAGAATATGAAACATGTATCATCTTTAAGAATAGAGTTGAAATCCTTGCCCCACCTACATGCTCATGCCCTGAGTCATGGTTAAAGGCAGGGACTCAAAAAACCAAAAAAACCAAACCACTGCTTTGATTCAATTCTGATTCATAGCGACCCCATAGGGTTTCCGAGGCTGTAAATCTCTACGGAAGCAGACTGCCACATCTTTTTTCCACGGAGCCACTGGTGGTTTCGAACCGCCAGCCTTTTGGTCAGCAGTCAATCGCTTTAACCACTGTGCCACCAGGGGACAGGGTTGACTAATATGTTGCTCTTCATCACTGTTAAGTTCCCCCCACCAGAATAAAAAAAAAAAAAAGCGGTTCCTGATCTTCCCTGCACGGATGAATTTCGGGAATGTTGTCTCCATCCATCCCAGGTTTGGAGAAAGGCACTTAGCTCAGCTTCTATCCCAAATAACCTTTTGAACAGGAAAGTTTGACAGGGAGTCTCGTTCTCTCAACCTCTCTCTCTCTCTCTCTGAGCTCTGGGGAATGTGAATATACTCTAGAAAGGAGGCTGTGTTTCTGCACCCAGCAAATGACCAGCATAACTGAGCAGAGGTGAGGCTTTGTCCAAATTCAGAGCCAGCTAGGTCTGAGCCAGTTGAGACAAACATCAACGGGGCTTTAAAAATCTCTGCTTTCACAACCTGTAAGTAACCCAGACCAAGAGGTACTGCATTAAACTCATAAAAAACATACATTTGCTTTACTTTCCATCTCCCCCCAAACCCGTTATACAAGGAAAAATACTCAGAAGCAGCCCATCGTTATCACTGTCATCACAGTCAATTTAAAAACAAAAACAAAAAAAACAACAGTACAAAGTGGGAACTGACAAGCAGGTGGGGTCTTGTGTTTACATCCCAGAGATGGTTTTATTTTCTGTCCTCAATTACAATGAGAGTTTGCAGAGAGGAGCTCAGGGGTTGGGAAACAAAAATCTCTTTGGTCTGGGGATTGTTACTATTATTGGCATTTGCGTGTTGCCCTGCTGAGGAGGGGCTGCCTGTCCTGTTCTCTGCTTCTTTCCTTCCCTCCCTTTCTCCTTGTCTTGCTCCTTGGTGGATGCCCTTTGGAAGAGACAGGGCGAGGGTGTTTTCACACACACACACACACACACACACACACACACATACACACACACACACACACACACAAAAGCCCCAGGGAACCCTGGCAACTGTTGTTCTCAGCCCCCCAGCTGCTGAGCGAGCTGTGAGGACAGAAGGTTCTGCAGGTGACATTGGCCCCACCTTGCACAGCGCCCTCTTTCGCACCACTAGCAAACTGCCTAGAGACAGCAGGGGGCAAGGGTGTGGGCTTTACTCTGGGCAATTTCTTGTCCCCACAAGGGCCCCCAACATGGGGCAGCCTCTGAGTGTGGTGTTGTTGTTTGCCTGTGTAGTTTACATTAAGAGTACGCACATTCTGGGTAATTGTCGGCTGTTTTTGTTTGTTTTTTAAGTGAGTCTCCTGCTAAAGCTTAAAAAAAAAAAACACTTCAAGAGTTTTAGCATAATTTATTTTGAAATTTTAAAGTGGCAATGAAGGGAACACAGCAACTCCTGAAGGAAGCCTCTAGAATCTGAGAGTGGAGGCAAATGAGAGCCTCATCAGGAGAGGAGTAGCTGGGCTGAGGCCAGTGGAGGCTGCTGGGGTTGGGGGCTGGTGTGGTCGTGGGTCCAATGGGGCTGAAAGGGGACTTGGTTTAAAGGTCTCCAGCTGGGCCAATTCACTACTTGTTGTCCCATTAAGGAGTCCCTGGGTGGTGTAAATGGTTAAGCACCCTGCTACTAACCAAAAGGTTGGCAGTTCAAATACACTCAGAGATACCTCAGAAGAAAGGCCTGGAGATCTGCTTCTGAAAGGTCACAGCCATGAAACCCCTGTGGAGAGCAGCTCTACTCTGCATACATGAGCTTGCTATATGAACTGGAATCAACTCAACAGGAACTGGTTTTTGTCCTGTTGAACACAGGGAGGAGAGAGCTCAAGTGAGTTTTGTAAGGGGACTCCAGTCCCGGCGGAAACCGTCACACGTGAGCTTGATTTCCATCAGGTGTTAATGAGGGTGGCAACCACCCTCATCTTTCCCCCAAAAGCTGAGTACGATGAGTCTTCAGAGTGATTGCCAACAGCCTTTGGAGCCCAGGGGCCTTTAACAGTGGTTTGGATCATCTGGGAGGCAAAACAATCAGAACCAAGTATGACGAAGATGGGGGGATCCTTCTGGGCTGTTTCCTTTGTAGGGTCTGAAGAGTGGTGTGCGTGGCTATTGTGCTAGGCCAGGAAGTACCTGGCCGCAGACAGTAAGCAAGTGCTGTGAGCTAGACGCTCTCACGGGCATTCATTCTTTCACCGGGGAAACCTTAAGCACCCCTGTGGGTTCTGGTGGCAGGTGCTTTGGTTCCCATCCTGGCTCCACTGGTGGGAGTTTGGTCCATTCCAGCCCCTGTTCACAGGGTTGTGGTGAGGATCATTGAGCTGGAGCTGGGAAGTGTAGACTCATAGATTCTTCTGGAGGAAACTTTGAGGTCAGCCATCCACCCCACAACATCTCAGACAAATGGTCTTGCAGTTTCTGTGTGACTACATTCAGGGATGAGGCCTTTACTCCCTCACCATGCAGCCAAGTGGGAGGGGGAGGAGCCCAAGAGGTGGTCCAGGGTCTTGCCTGAATGGGACCAGAGTTTGGGGCTGTCTTCAGCCTTGAGTGGGGGTTGGGGGAAAGCAGCTGGGCCTGACCCTCATGTCTACTTCAAGCTGCCTCAGGCCTGCCTTCTGTTGACTCTTGCCTGCAGCAACACGGAATCCCCATCCCGGTCACCCCCAAGAACCCGTGGAGCATGGACGAGAACCTTATGCACATCAGGTAAGATGCTCCACCCACCCATCCATCCTCTGCTTGCTCAGCAGAACCAACTTTGGTGAGCACCTGCCTGAATGCTGTGCTGGCACCAGGATGTGATCGTGACCCCGACACACCAGTCCCTGCCCTTGTGGAATCTTGAAGAAGACAGACATGGGACCACCACTCACCCAGTTCAGTCATTGCTGTCATTGCAGTTCCCCTGAGTGCCGTGGGGGGTGATGCTGTGTGCTAGGAGGAAGACAATGGAGACCTCGCCTTGTGGCGGTGGGGTTTCAGGGAGGACTTCTCTGAGGAAGTAGCATTTGAGCTAAAATCTCAAGGATGCAGAGAGACCAGCCAGGTTGCAGGGAAGAGCCTTCAAGGCAAAAGGAACAGCATGTGTGAAGGTCTCACGGCCTTATGGGTACCTGAGAGCAGAGCCCCGGCCCCCCAGCCCCAGGGTTGGAGCCCTTGCACTGTGCCCCAGAAGACTGCGGGAAATGCCTTGACCTCTTACTTGCAACCCACAACTCCCATGGCCAACTAGGGTGGGCCCAGAATGTTCTAAGCAGGGTTGGTAGTGGTCTCTTTGGCAGAGAGAAAAGGGCAGCACAATTAGGGGTGTAGGGGGGGCACAGTTCTGTCCCTCCCCTATTGACTCCCTATTTTTCTTGTCCCTCTACCCCCCGCAGCTATGAGGCTGGAATCCTGGAGAACCCCAAGGTAATCCCCCATCCTCCACACTGGCAGTCTTTGGTGGTAGCCCTGCTGCCCATGCTGACTGATGCATTTGTAGCCTAATTTGAAACTTCACGGGGGAGGGGGCGCATGGGGCTGGGGCCAAGCCCTGCCTGTGTTCCCCATCCCTCCCCACCCGGCCCCCCTTTGCCTGCCCTCTCAACACTGTGTTTTAAGACCCCCTCCCTCCTGTTCTTTTTCTAATTGCCGTTGGAATGAATAGGGAAGGAAATATTTCAGGGCAGCATAGAGGGAGAGAGTGTCATTGTCAGACAATAAAGAAGCAATTAGGCAGATGAGACACTTGTGGGAGGCGCCCAGCCTGTGCCCACCAGCTCTCGGCCCGCTGCCGCGATTATAATGGGGGGTGGCACAGATTAGAGCCTCAGGACCCATTTGTCTGGGTCCCTGCCCCACGCCCGCGGCAGCCTGCCCTGAGCCCCTCATCCGAGCCAGGCCCTGTTTGAAGTTTAGGGTTTCTCTCCCCGGGGGGTTTCTCTTTGTATCTCCCCCTGCCCACCATGGGAGGTGGGGTGGGGGAAGCAGGGCGAAATCTGTCATGGGAAGAGAGAAATCTCTTTGTCCCTGAGGGAATGTGACTCGGTTCCCTGGCTCAGCCCCACATCCCTGATGGCTGGTTTGGGGGCTGAGGGGCTGCTTGTCTGATGTTAGGGAAGAAGTGTGCTGGGGAGGGGGCTCAGGCAGCTGGGCCTGGGACACCAAGAGGCCAGCTGGAAGGGAGGAGAGGATGCTGGGTGGTTTGGGTGGGGGCAGGGAGAATTCTCCTGACTGTGTGAGCATCCTCATTTTGGGGTGCAAAAATGGGACCCAGAGAAATGACTCGCCCAGCACACCAGCTGCTCAGCGAGGAAGCAGGGTGGTGCCTGTATCGCCCTGTCACAGGAGTGGTGCTCCTGTCTCGGGGGTTCCCCCACTGCCCACAGCCCAGAGGAGCCAGCTGGCCCCCGCCTCCCTGCCCGCTCACCGGCTCTGCCCAAATATGTCACTCAGGAGAGCCCCGCACCCTTGCCCCCTGGGAGCTGATGGGCCCCACGGGGCTGCTGCCTGCTGGCCACAAGTTTTTCCAGTTCATGCTCTGCTGACCCCACGACACTCAGGCCAGCCACCCCTAATTAGCCAGTCAGTCAGCACCCAGGGGGGTGGGAGGTGGGGTTGACCGGCACAGAGCGACTTGACTTCGTGGCAGGGCATCCTCCTGGCCCCAAACATGCTGGGAAGCCGCATGCTACCTCTCTCCCAGCAGCTGTAGCCCCTCTCCTCACCTGAGAAGAGACACCCCCAAAACAGACCACCTTAGACTGGGGGAGGAAAGCTGAGGCCAGGCCCGACATCATCCCCCGGGCAGTGCCAAGCGGCTGTGGCTTTAAGACACCTGTGTGGCCACCAGCAGGTCCTTTCCTCTCTTGTCTTACGAGGGTGTTGAGTGGATAAGTAAGTGCTAGAGAGTTTGTATTTATTAAGGACTCTGCCGCCCAAACTAGGTTTGAGGCTAGGAAGATGGAGTGGATAGTGGTTAATACTTGGATCCCAGAGACGGGAAACCTGGGTCTGAATCTCAGCCCTGCTTCTTATTGCTGTGCAACCTTGGGCAAGCTACCCAACTTCTCTGATCATCTGCTTCTCCATGCACAAAATGGGAAAACCACAGGACCTCCCTCCTGGGCAATTGAGGCACTCAGTTTATCCCTGGCACAGAGCAAGGCCTCGGTCATGGAGCCTGGGGTCCTACCTGACTCAGGCCAGCTAAAATTCTTTTGGGAGGAAGCGGCTAGGGTCCCCTCAAGGACTGTCTCATCTCCCCAGGGAGAGGCTGTGCTGAGTATGAGTGGAGGGGAAACTCTTCCCTGCTGAGAAGCACCCCAGGTCCAGCCACTCTGGCCCTGGCCTCCCAGCCTACCCTGCTGTTGGGGCAGGTGCTCTGCGCTGGCCTCTAGCTGGCCTAGCCACAGGGGCCCCCCAGGGCTCCGTGTTGGAGGCCAAACCCCAGACCCACCTTGCGCCTCTGCAGCCCACGTTCTCCAATGGCCGGCTTGCGCATCCCGGGAATGAGGAGGTAGCATCCAGGGGCCTGGAGTGCTTGCTCCACGGGGGAGAAGCACCTGCCTGAGCAGCCCTGGCCCCCTCGGGAGGAGCTCAGGGAGACAGAGCGTAAGGGAAACAAGGCCCCCTCCCCCTCTCCAAAAAAAAAGCCCTGAGACCTGCCGAAGGGAGGGCTTGAAGGCAGATGGCTGGGCCATTTTCTGCCTCCATGAGGGCTGATTGAAGGGCAATGAGGCAGCTAATGCGAAGAAAGATAGAAATTTACTTGCTTTAACTTCATACGGCCCACAGTGAAAGAGTTCATTCAGTTGCCGGCCCCTCCATATCTGATGGATGAATAAACCATTTGCAGCATCGATCATGCCTCTACATCATGGTTTAGTTCATGGGCCATTTGCTTCCAATTTCTTCTTCTCGGGCCCTGTTTCATGCTTTCTTTCGCCCTCTCCCCTCACCCCCCAACTCTCTCTCTGTCTTTTTCTTCACTCTCTTCCCTCCCCACGCCCCCCCTCAACCAAAGATGACATTGGAAGTGAGCCCTCCCGCTGGGGTGGATAAATAGATGGCATTGATACTCAGCAACAAACTATTTGTCATTTGAACTGGGCTTTTAGGAGCGAGAGTAAAAAAGAAGGCAGGCGCCCAAGCCACCTTGGAATGCAAAGCAAATGTCAGTTTATTTCTATTTAGTTATTTTATTTAATCGGTGCTGTCAGGTGCCCGCCAGCGTGTTGCAAGCCCCTTGCCAGCTGCTTCCGACTTCCACTGTAGAGTCTGGGGACTTGCCTCTGCCGGAGTTTTCCCACCTCCTTCCAAATGCAAACCTTCTCATTCTCTGACTTTTGTTTTGGGCTCAATTAAGAAGTGTGGCAGGAGAAAGTGACAAGCACAAAATTGAAAACGGATGGGCAGGCACGGAGCAGGTGGAGGTGGGAGAGGTGGGGTTGTCAGACTATCCCACTGAGGGGTCCACTGGAGACCCTTGTTTGAGTTAAGCCTGGGCTGGGGGACTAACAGGAGTACCAGGCAGGCAGGGAAGGCACTGTGGAGTCTTGTCAGCCACCCAGAGGTCCAGCAGTAATCCTAAGCCTCGATCATGTGGCCTTTGACTAAGAATGGGCCCTCTGGCCTGTCTGTGCCCAAGTGTTTGGCAGAGCCCAGAAGGGGTTGGGGAGCCTGATGCCCCACCCATGGCTAATGATGCGGAATTTTCTGGCTATACTCCTCACACTGCTTCTCAGCTCCCGGTTACTTAAAGCAGCTAGAGAAGAACCTCGTGTGGTGGACAGACCACCAGGCTGGGAGTCCAGAGATGCCGAGTCTGCCTGCCACACTGGCGGTGATGTGCAGTGTGATTTGGACAAGCTGCTTCTCAGGCTTTGGTTTCACATCTGTTCGATGGCAGCATCAGGCTTAAGGACCCTTCTGTCTCCTTGGGTTTCTGTCTTTGAGGTCAGCTTAGGGCACTTGTTTCCACCTCACAGATGGAAACAGATGAAGGCATGCTGGCCCTGAGTCATGCAGCACTTCAGGGACGGCAGGGAGGAGACTCCATCACAGACAGGGCAGGGAGGAGGCTCCGTCACCGGCCCCCATAGAAGCTCAGGCAGAGATTGAGCTAAAAGGATCCATGGTCCCAGTTTGCCCGAGACTGAGGATTTTGCAGGGGTTTCCTGGGCAATCTGGGATGGTTGATCACCCTAGTGTCAAGCTGGCAGGCAGAGTGACCACAGGTGAGCAATCAGGCCCTCCTGATGGCCCCACCTCTTGCAGGGAGGGTTGGCCTCTCCTGGAGGGGCTTCCCTCTGCAGAGCACGTTAACAGCCCGCATCCGGCTTTCCCTTGCATCTTCTTGTGTGTTCTTCATGTCCAATAAAAAACACAAAAACTGTCCATTCTTTTAAATTGTAAGATAGCCAAGAGCAGTTATTTTCCCCATTTTACAGATGAGGAAACTGAGGCTCAAAGAGGGAAAGCAACTTGCCCAGTCTCCATGGCCTGGGGTCTTGACTCCCAGCTTGAGGGGTATTTTCCACCACTCTAAAATTCAACACAAGTCTGTCACGGGCCTTGTGGGTTCCCTGCCCTGTGCTGGGTGCCAGGGACTCGGCGGGGAACAAGTGTACGCGGTTCATGCCCGCACAGGACTCACCGTTGCAGCTACAGTCACTTCCCCTCAGCCTCAATCTCTTCATCTGTAGATGGGGTAACAGTGGTACGCTTTCCTACCAACAGGGTGACTGCAGATAGAAAGTGACATGTGAATGTTTGCAAGGACTTAAACCAAAGATGTGAGGGACTGCAGCACCCAAAGTGTCGGCAGGTGGACAAGAACAGCTGGGCTGTGGGTGCCCACAGGAGGGACTTGAGCAGTCAGACCTAAGGGGCCCTTGTCCCCACGGTGGCAAGTATCCAAGCCACAGCCTGCGGGAGCCTCCAGACATGGGGGGGTATTTTGAGAGTCCCCGGCAGCAAATGTGCCTCTGTGGCTGCATGGAGACGAGGCCCGTTTTCCAACACGCCCAAGAAAAAATATACATAAAGGTTGATGTGTTTTCAAATGGGTTTTTGCTTTGCTCTTCTCTTTTCTCCCTGTGAGTATTAACCTCGGGGACCCTGAGGAGGGCTCTGCTCGCCGGAGCACCTGCTGGGGTCACGCATAGTCATTAGCTTTGCGGTCAGTGCAGAATAAACCCCAATTCCCAGCGCCAGGGAGAACGTGCGGGCTGGCTCCCAGGAAGTCTGTGGAGCGCTGCCTCGCTCCTCCAAAGTCACACTTTTTCCTGCCTGACTTGTTCCTCTACTGCTATTCTACCTCCAGCTGTGGGGGCGTCGAAGAAAAAGATGAGATCAAGTTGAGGGGAAAAATTGTCTGATTTCTTGAGCCATTTGTTTCCCAGGCCCCTGGCAAGCAGGGCTGGCTTGGGGCTGGGGGCTGGGGGGCATGCTGGGCCTGCAAGCTGGTGGGGACATGCCAGCAGCCCCCTGGTTCTGGAATGGGGAGAGTGGGGTTGAGGCCTGCCGGAGGCGGGGCAGGGACTGGCACGGGATGCCTGGCTCTGGCACCCCATTCTCCAACCTCTTTCTGTCTTTTGTCAGAACCAAGCGCCTCCAGATCTCTACACAAAGACCCAGGACCCAGCCAAAGCCCCCGACAGCCCTGACATCCTTGAGATCCAGTTCAAGAAAGGTACATCCCCACCCTTCAGGATTTAAAGACATTGATGATTGGGATCTTAGCCCCTTTTCCATCCCTGCCTGGGAGGCTGGGCACAAGTCCTCTACACACCTCCTACGTTCCTGAAAGCAAGAGTTCAGGCAGAGTGTCTGAGGGATCCTAGCTACCCCCTGTCTTGGACTATGCTCTATAGAAACATCTAGACTCCAGAGGAAAGCAGATGGGCCCTCAGCTGCTCATCACACTGGATCATGGACACAAGATCCAGAGTGAGTGTACTCCAGTCCCCAAGCAACCCCTTGCCAGCTGTGGGGCATTGGGGAAGTCACTCAACCTTCCTGGGCCTCAGTTTTCTCATCTGTAAACTGGGGATAAAAGAGTGCCTGCTGCCTTTAGTTTTCATGGTTGCAGAGGGAGGGCTGCATGAGAAGCACCCAGCACAGGGCCCTGGCACTGAGGAGGTGCTCAGCAAGTAATGAGTCTTAAAGAGCCAGCCCCAGCGACCCTTCTGCTAGAGCCTGAGCTAGTCCCAAGTTAGCTGCTCACTGCCTCATCCCCAACTCCAGTTTCAAAGCTGCATCCATTCCCACTCCCCTTGGCAGGGGTGAGCATCCCAGTCTCCTCCTCATCTTCACTGCCATCCGCAAGGAGGGTTTGCTGGCCTAAGTGCCAGCCCTGAGCCAGGCATGAGGGACAGCCTGAGATAGTATGTCTTGCCCTGGAGGAAGGAAGGGAAGAGAAGGTGTGCCTCGTAACAACAAGAGTAGCAGGCCCAGGCTCATAGTGAGGGCTTAGGGGTCCGACAGGAGGATCTTCCCAGAAGGCTGCAGAGAGAGATCAGGTAAGCTTCCTGGAGGAGGTGGTGCTGGATCTCGGCCTCAGAGGCTTGGCAGGAACCAAGAGGAGGCAGGAGGGCATCCCAAGCCCAGGCAAGGAGACTGACGTGCCGTCCGAAAAGCAGCTTCTCAGGCTGGAGCAGGGGGCAGAGGAAGAATGGTGCCCAGAGATGCCAGGGCACCTCAGAGACGGGGTTCAGAGCACACTCCCTCACACCAGGGCAACCTTGACAACCAGTTGACCTCCCCCGTCTGGGCCTACTCATCTGTAAAATCGGCTCACAGGTGCCAAGACTGGTGTTCCACAGTGTTGTTGTTAGCTGCCGAGCCAGCCCTGACTCGTGGGGACTCCGTGTACGGTGGAATGAACCAATGCCCAGTCCTGCACCAACCCTGTGATCACTTGTGGATCAGACCATTGTGATCCACAGGGTTTTCATGATTTTCGGAAGTCAATCATCAGAACTTTCCTCCGAGTCTGTCTTAGTCTGGAAGCTCTGCTGAAGCCTGTTAAGCATTGTAGCAACACCACGGCTTGGGAAATAGAGGCTGTTTGTACTTTAATAATCTACCTCTCCGGGGCCTTTCCCAAGAGCCTGGCCAAGCCAGTGGGCATCTTCGTCCCTCCCCTCCATCTGCTCAAAGCCTGGAATTTCTCACCGCTCAGGGGCCAGAGACCTTGGTCTGAGGCCCCTAAAGGCAGTTGCAGTTCTAAGTCCATCTGATGCCCACATTGTCTGACGCAGGCCTTGCTAGCAAGTGTGGGCCCCCTTGCTCATCAACCCTCAGAAGACGGATGGGACAAACCCAGGTGACACCCCACCTTTCCCAGCAGGTGCCCCCAGGCCCAGGGAGAGCTGGGGGGGTGGGAGCTGAGCCGGAGGCGGTGGAGGGTCTCAGGGCACGGGTCTCTGGCAGCCCTTCCTCAAGGAATAGGCAGCCCTTGGGCTGAGCTGGAGAAGAAATGTGATCATTTTAATGATTTGGGGACCGTCTGGAAAAAAAATAGATGGGAGGAGCCCTGCCCTGACTACTCCCCATTCATCCTCTAGTTAATTTATTTGAAGTTTTAATCTAATTATTAACTATTTTAAAGGCTAAGAGGCTTTTTCCAGCAGCAGCACCAACAATGTCCCTCCCCTCCTGGGCAGGCCCCATCCAAGGCCCCAGCGAAGGCTGATAATAGGAACAGGGGGGAGAGAAAAGGAGAGGGGAGAAGCGGGGGGTGGCGAGAGGGGCTTAAGGTTCATTATTGGGCAGACTTACATTTAATAGCAATTTACAACGAAGTTATAAAACCCCTGGAAATGGGGGTTAAGAACGGCGAGGCTGACAGCGCCTTGAGGGAAGCCCCTCCAAGCGGCGCCTGGCTAATAAAGACTCGAAAGGCGCCATTGAGCCGTGATTGGCACCCGATCGCTGGCTACATGGTAATGAGTCGGGCAGATGGGTGGGGGATTAGCCGCCAACTTTGAACAGCTTTTCTTTGTCACTGTTACAGCTCTCTTGTTAGCCCCCTAATACATTTATTGCTCATTTCACACCGCTAGAGAAAGTGCCCCTTGCTATTCAAAGTCAACCCTGAACCCACCCACCGCCCCCCCACCCCCCTGTACACAGCCCTTCCCTCCCCGAGCAGTGGCTGCCTCCCTCCTGCCACCCCAGACCTGACGTCTCAGGATTCATGGACGCCCCCAACACCTTGCCTGCTGGGGCGGGCACCATTTCACCCCATCAATCAGATGGTGGTGAGCGGGTCTGGGGTGCAGGGTCGGGGGCGCTGGGGTCTGCCTGACAGACGTGTCAGGGGGCTGTGTGTGTGTGAGTGTGTGTGTGTGTGTGCGCGCGCCCAGCCGCACCTCGGCCAGGCGGCCTCCGAAGCTGGTGGGACAGAAGGTGCTCCCGGCGTAAGACAATGGTGGAGCGTGAAATTCAATTAGTTCAGGGCCTGGTTCCAATTTCACAGCCCCTAAATGCAAAAGGGGCAAAGAGAATGGGAAGGGTGGGGGAGAGCGTTTTTATTGCATTTTCCCTTTCATTCTGGGGGGCTTTCTCGCCCTTTCTCTCCCCCCAGCAGGCCTCAACCTGCACAGGGCTTTTCAAGGAGTCATTTGGAGTCCATATCTGTCACATCCATTTAAGGCGTTGAGGGTGGAGGGGAGAGGGCGGGGTGGCAGGCGTGGGGCTTCTCCGCCAAGCTTTGGCCCAGAGGCCCACTGCCGTCTCCTCCTGCCCCAGGGGTCCCTGTGCAGGTGACCAACGTCAAGGATGGCACCACCCACTGCACATCCTTGGAGCTCTTCATGTACCTGAATGAAGTCGCGTGAGTGTCCACAGCCCTACCCAGCCTCCTGGGAAACCACAGAGATGGTCACCACCTGACACTTAGGGTCCAAGGAGGAGAGGGAGTCCCCTCTGCCTGTGTCCTTAAGGCAGCCTTGGCTGCAGCCCCATAGGGTCTCCTAGACTATAAGGCAACTAGTTTGACAGGAGAGTCCTGGGTGGCCCTTGTTTAAATCCCTTAGCCTTGGAAGGCAGCAACCCCAGGAAGTCTGCTGCCCACCAGGGACAGTTAGGCTGGGGCTTCCAAGCCCACAGCTGGATCTGAGACACCCTGATAGAAGGAAAGATGCACAGAGGTTAGCACTGGCACCAGACAGACACAATGGAATTACATAATTACCAGACAGAGGTCATGGAAGAAGCAAATTGAACTCACTGAGCAACCCAGACAATCCATCTCTGGGCCTCAGTTCCCCCACCTGTCCGATGGGAGGTTGCACCAACGGGCCTGGTTCTGATGTGCTTCAAGTCCTGCGTCCTAAGATGGAGCCTATCCCCCTGCATGTGGCTCTGGGGACACAGCCAGGCCCCCGTGTGGCACTGCACACTGCAGCAGCCCTGCAGCCAGGCTGATGGTGTCCGACACCAAGCCTGTGGTAGCACCTGGTCCAAGTGACCATTTCTCCCACAGGGGCAAGCATGGTGTGGGCCGCATCGACATCGTGGAGAACCGCTTCATCGGAATGAAGTCTCGAGGTGAGTCTGCTCACTTGTCTTGGGGGCACGCCAACTCTCAGCGACCCCAGAGGCCCCTGGGACCCCCATCCCATTCAGGTGTTGCTACTCCCATGCTACATGGGTGACCTGCCTGTCTTCAGTTTCCCTCCTGTAAAGTGGAGATAGCGAGCCCCTTGCCACTGACTTCCTAAGCACAGGGCCTAGACGTTGCTGGGGGGAGCCCAGAAGCATCCTGGAGATACTCTGAGGAGAGGGGAGGCCACAGGCCAGGCCTAGAGGTCAGGCTGTCTTGTGTCCCAGGCGGGCCAGTGAGGTTTGGAGGCGGACCGTGCAGGGCTGATTTCGTGGTTATTAAGGCTTCATTGAGGAGGCTGGCCAGGCAAGGCGGGAGTCCTGCCAGCGGTGGGCGCTGCGGGCTGCATGGGCCCTGAGGGCTGTCCAGGACCTAGAGGCCTGTCTCAGGGACAGAAATAGCTGAGGGCTCTGCCCAGGTTTCTGCCACAGTGTGGGGTGACGCGACCTTGGCTGGTCTTCTAGGCCACCCAGCCCTGTATCCCCCTCTGGCTGGGTCTAACGGGGAGAGGGGGAGTCGTTGGTCCCCACACAGCTGCCTCTGTTTTCTGTTAGTGATCAGAGCCCTGTGATGTCCTTTGTCAGTCTCTACAGTGTCTGAGCCCTCGGTTACTCACTGTGTCGTCTTGACCACGTCACCCTCCTATCTGGGACTCAGTTTCCCCATCCATACAAAAGGATGTCAGGTCCCTGTGGCTCTGCCAGTTTGCGATAAAGCAGTTCTGTGACCTCTGGGGGCTCTGAGAGGGAAGGGGCAAGGTTTCAGCAATTAGGGCCCCTGAATTGGGCACCTGAATTTTAAAATATTGGTAGTGGGGTTGAGGGTCCCCCGTTTTGGTAGGTGTTCAGATTGCTTTGCTTAGTGTCATAAAAAGATAACACAACAAAATGAAACTAGGCCAAGGTATAGTCGTGGCCCTTATCCTCCGGGGTTTTTCACTAAGATTCGAAAATTCAAAGGCGCTAAGCATTCCCAGATTTCAGCTGCTACAAAAGGGCTGTAGTGGTCTGGAAGCAGAATGCTTGGGGTTCACATCCCAGGTTTGCCCTGCCTTACCGAATGACCAGGAACTAGTCACTTGTCATCTCTGGGCCTCAGTTTCCCCAAGTGTGATGTGGTAGGGGTGGAGGTGGGAGTTGCATCATTTCTGCTCTGACCTGTTTGGGGTTTATCTTAAAAGGTGTGGGGTGGAGGGAAGAGAGACGGCTGCTTTCCTTCTTCCTGTGGTTTTTTTCCTCCTAACTGAAACTCTCTTGGGAAGGCCTTGTCACGAACAATATTGCTAATTAGCTGCTCCCTTTTATCCTTGCCTACCTTTGTCTCTTACCGGTATTAACATCTGATGAAATATCCCTTTGTCTAAACCTGCCCTTGGGAGTCAGCACAATGTAAGTCCTTCACGGCAGAGCCGGGAGGGACCTTGGGGATGTAAGAGGCCAGCACCCTTATTTTACAGATGGGAAAACCAAGGCTCCTGGAGGGGAGAGAGGGCTTGCTCAAAGTCACAGGCATGTCAGTCGCAGGGCCAGGACTGACACCCATACCTAGAGAGGTATGGAGTGAACGTCTAAGAGCTTGGGCTCTGGAGTGGGACAGACCCCAATTCAAACCCATGTGTAAGAGCAGGAACTGGTGCAGTGGACAGGAGCCTTGGTGGCACAGTGATTAAAAGTGCTTGACTGCTAACCATGAAGTCTGCAATTCCAACCCACCAGCCGCTCCATGGGAGAAAGATGTGGCCGTCTGCTTCTGTAAAGATGACAGCCATGGAAACCCTATGGGGCAGTTCTACTCTGTCCTATAGAGTTGCTATGAGTCAGGAGGGACTTGACGGCAACGGTTTGTTTTTGTTTTTTTTGGGAAAACGGAGTTATTTCATAAGCAGTGGTTGGCCCACAGGGGATACCAGGAAAGAGTAAAGGCAGCTGTGCCCTCTGGGAAGTGTCAATAGAGCTCAGAGGTGCCCAGTATGGCCCCTATTGTCACACCCCTCCCCTGCCCATGGCAGACATCACTAATCAATTGTGGCACTATCCTGTTGAAAGTAGATGTGGTCTCGGAGTTGCCAACAGCCACTGCCTATAGGTTAGGGTTGGCACATGTGATGTTAATTCTTCACCTTCCTTTGCTGGAAAGATAAGGGCTGGTCTGGGGTGGCTCTGTGAAATGGCATCCTGGCTGGGGGAACTGAACTGAAGATAGTAATCACAGAAGGATATAGTGAGGAAGGCCTGGACAGGGCCATCTGTTCTGCGAAGGCCTACTGTGGGAGTTGGGAGTAGAACAGCTTCCAACTGGTAGGATATGAAGTAGACAGGGTTGGGTGGGGGCATTCCAGGGAGAGTGGTCAGGAAGCATAAGAAGTGCCTGAGGTGGCCTGTTGGGTAGTGGGTGGGGTCTGATGGGGCAGGGTCCCTAGAGACCCGGGAAAGGCACACTGAGGAGCTGGTGTAGAGGGTCAAGGCTTTGGTGTCAGATCTGAGTCCCAATCTTGGCTCCATCACCATTGGGAAAGCAGTTTAGCCTCCCTGAGCCTCAGCTTCTCCATCTGCAAAATGGGTTGTTGTGGGGATCAAATGCAGAGAGCTCTTGACACATAGCAGGTGTCATGCCTGGATGATAGATTTACCACCTTTTTCCCAGACCTGGGGTCATTATCACCCTAGAAGGCCAAAGCCATGAGAATAGCAGTCTCTTCTGATTCCTTTGGCTCTTTAATACCCACCCAAGGAAAAGATTCCTAGAGCAGTCTTCACTTTGCCCAGATATCGTGTGTGTCTGCAGGGAGGTGTCCCTAAAGGCATAGAATTTAGTCTGCGAGTTGTCCAGTCTTTTGGGAAGGAAATCAGAATTCCGACTCTATAAACTCGCTATGTGACCTTAGGCTAGTTGCTTTTCCTCTCTTCAACTCCACCTGTCAAAAGAGGGGCCAGGCTAGGTGGTCTCAACATCTCCCTCGAAGTTCTGACTTGCCCATTCTCTTGCTCGGGGTGAGGGGTGGGAGAAGAGAGTTACTTTTTAATTTTAGGGTGGTGTCTCGTTTTTATGTCTCCACCCCCAAATAATTAGTTGGTGAGAAAGAGAGAAAGAATGGGAGCAGTAAATTAAGGTTCCTGTAAAAGCATCATGGATTCCCCCATGATGAGGTTTTTATTAAGTGTGTAGTAATGGGAGAAGCTGTTAATCATCAATTATATTGAGGGCAGAGCCAGGAAGATGCTATTGTCTGTATCTTGGTGTGCAGGGAAAAATGTCATTTGTATTGATTTTACAAAGCTCGTAATTGAAATTCGTTAAGGACTTGTTTTTTCTGGGGAGGGGTAGAGAGTAGGGCAGCTTTAGTGCCCTGGGTCTGGGACAGCCTGGTCAGCGGTGCTTAGGGCCCAAGGGTCAGAGGGGCAGGGGGCTGGGGAAGCTGCAGATGGAGTAGCTTTCGCAGTATTGTGGCTGTTCACGTCGTCATTATCACATTATCTTTTTAACTCTGGAGGGGGGCTAATTAAGTGAAGTAAATGAAATCAGTGGGGAGGAGAAGGGGGGGGCAAAGCAGGCAGGAGGGAAGCAGGGGAAGAGCCAGCACGTGTCCTTCCGCTCACCTTCTCCCTCCTTCTCTCTGGCCGAGACTTTTCCAGCAAGCTCACTCCTCTCCTCCTGGCCCTGCCCCACCTATCTCACCTCTGCCTGCTGCTGCCTGGATCTTCTGGGTTCCACCTCCTCTCGCCTTTCCTTCCTAGCTCCTCTTTCCTCTGCCCTTTGCTGACTCCCTGCTTCTCTCCCTCCCCTTTCCTCTCCTCTGCTCCCTCGTTGCTTGGTTTCCCCGCTGCACTCTACCCTTGTCTTTCCAGTCCCCCTTCTTTCCTCCTTGCTCCTTCACTTTTTGGCCAAGAAGAAACAAGGGCAGCCCACCACTTACCCACGTGTCCACCCACCTGTGCAGCTCATCCAGAGGCCTAGCTCAGACAGAACATCCCAGGCCCAGACAGGGAGTGAAGGAGGCCTGTGAAGCAAAGGGGTTCACAATCTCAGAGACATGGGGTGGACAGACCTAGAGGTCTACCCTGATCCCCAGGATGGGGCCCACAAGGCAATAGGAGCGTGGAAGATAGCTAGAGTCCCACCCTGACTGCCTCCCCATCACCATGGCAACCACCTCCATCCTTGGCCCTGGTACCCATGAGGGGAGCCCTTGGGCTCCAGCCAACCTCCCTTTCCCTGGTCTTTCCAAATCCCTTCCTCTGGATACTGTTTTCCCAAAGGACCAGAGCCTCTTGGAAAGACTGGGGAGGTGGCAAGGGGTGTGTGTGGGCTCTCATAGTGCTGGTGCATGTGCCCCAACCTCCCCCCGAGTTGTCAGATCCCACTCAATCCTGCCGAATTGCTCAATCTGAGCTAACCTGGCAGCCTCAGGAACAGATGAGAAGAATTTAAGCCGCAGCAGCTGTTTTGGTCCCTACCTCCTCCTCCTTGGTCCACTAATCCACCCCCCGCCCCCGCCTGGCCACCCCCAGCTCCTCACCCTTCTCCCCACTTCCCCCCTTCCTGGCAGTAATTATGGTGTGATTGAAGCTGCTCCACGGAGAACTGCTGACACCTCTGTCTTTTTCCTGTAAACACGGGGAGATGAAAATAGACACTTGGAGCCACTGTGCGTGTCACTCTGAAGATGTCTGTTGTCTCTTCCACGGCGACACCAAGACTCAGCTGTCATTTCCTTCTTCTTTTGGCGCAGTGGTTTGTACACTGACTGTCAAAAGCCCTAAATCCAGAGTCTTTTAGCATCAGGTTTCTGTCATCGATTTTTTTTTAAGTCATTTTTTTGCAGAAGAAATACACAGAAATCATCTGAACCCCCTGCACCTGTGGAGAGGAGCGAGACGATCTTTAAAATGCACTCACACACACACACACTCACACACACACACACACGCTCACACACTCACACACACACACCCCCACACTCACACACACACACACCCCCACACGCTCACACACGCAGGCACACGTGAAAGCAGCAACCCCAAAACAAGCTTTTTGATCAGTCCCAATTAACTTTAACACCTTCTAAGAAACGAAGTAGGAATATTAATTGCGCTGGTGTGTTTACTGGCTGCTGGCTTTTCTTCTTGCCCACGACCCTTCCTGAGGCTGCCTCGGAGGGTTGACAACCATGGAGGCTAGTGCTGTGGGCTCAGGCGGAGGCCCTCTCTGCTCCCTGCGCTGGCCTCCCTTTCCTGGGGTCAGCTGGGAGACCTCGGTTGAGTCACATCGCTTCCTCCCTGGAAAGTAGAGCTCCCTCCAAGCTTTGCACACTGCCTGTCTTCTCCCTCTGGACTGTTGGAAGATGATGTTGTGGCGCTGGCCTGAAGTGTTTTAGAGCCAAAACCTCAGTATGTATACTGTACTGGAAGACAGTGTGTCCAGATACTCACCTTCCAAGCAGGTCTCAATGGAAGTTAGAATGTAAGAGCAGCACCAGTTGCCTGGGGCTCAAAGAGGCGGCTGAGAAGGGCCAAGAATACATAGCAAAGGCAAGCAACCTGTACAGGTGTAAGCTGCTGTGGGACTTCTAGCTCCAAGCCCCAACCCTGCAAATATGGCTTGGACGATGGCCCATAGCTGATTCGGCCACAGACAGAAAAGCAGGAGGCGGCCTGGTTCCAAGAGCTGAAAGCCAGGAGGGCTCCTGCTTGGCCTGGGATGGCATTGCTACAACTACCTGTGGTCCATATAAGGACTAGCTTTGCAAGTTTCTGGGTTTTTCCAAAATGTGGCAAAACACCTTAGAAGGCTGGTTTCCAACCCAATAAGTATTGAGTTCTTAATGTGTGCCAGAATGAGAACGCCAATAGGCCTTTGTCAATATCTGGCTTTTGGTGGCTCTTGGAAAATTACATTATTCTTGGTGATGAAGTTTCTAAGATAACTGATAACATGGCCCTTTAACTTTGTCGTTATTTCTGCCATTTTGGAAATTGATATTTTCAAGCATTCTGCACAAGTCCGACTTTGCAAACAGGCTGCTGAACAACTAGGCCTTTCTCAGTGGCTTAGAGCCATCGGGAGCAACTCTGTGGAACCACACTGCCCTTGCAGGGAGTGGCCCTGGCTCTGTGTCGAGTTCTTGTGTCTGCTTTTTATAGGTTTTCTGTTTCCCTCCTGTTCTCTGGTGTCAGCAGTGGCTTTTCTCAGGCGTGTGTTGGTCTCTGCCTCCATCAGCCTTCCTGCCCCCTTTTGACTTGTGCTCTGGGCTGCTCGGCAGGAATGGATAGTTGAGCATGTTTGAACTGTATTTTCAAGAGGGATGCTGTGGCTGAGTGAAGGCCTGAGGAGCTCTCTAGAGAGCTGAGGGCTTGGGCCTTGTGCAAAAACTTGGGGATACTGGTGTTTTGCTGTCGGAGAGGCCATTTTCCACCCAAAGATCACAACTCAATTCAGAACAGTAGAGATGGCCTAAGAGCTGGGTCCCACACAAGGGACGTGGGGTGGCCTCTTTTGTGGCACAGTATGACAGTATCAACCATTATACTGTATAGGCTTTACACACATATGCCCACTGAGACCAGGATATCAGGGGTTTACAGATGAGCAAACCAAGCCCCGGAGAGGTTCTCTTTCCTCGGAAGCACCTTGGGACCACAGTAAAACCCAGATTTCTCTTCCACAACCTCAGCTTTCAGACTTGCATGTTTCCTTTGGTGCTTTGGTCAGGATTTGGTCACTTCTGCCAAAGGCCCTGAGAGACAACCTGGAGTAGAGGTGGGAAAGCCAGATGCTGGTCCTGGCTCCCTCTCTAGTAGGCTAGATGACCTAGGGCAAGTCACTTCCCTCTCCAGGCCTCAGTCTTCCCATCTGTAAAATGGCATGCTGGACCAGACTGGTGATAAAAGGACTGCTCAGTGGAAACCCTGGTGGCGCAGTGGTTAAGAGTTCAGCTGCTAATCAAAATGTCGGCAGTTCAAATCCACCAGGTGCTGCTTGGAAACCCTATGGGGCAGTTCTGCTCTGTCCCATAGGGTCACTATGAGTCAGAATCAACTCAACAGCAATGGGTTTGGGTTTTTTTTTTTTTTTTTCTTCCAGTGGAGCCCAGGATTTGCAGAGGGGCCTTGGCTGTCTCTTCTCTATGTTAGACTTCTGCCTAAGACTGTGATTGAATAATAGGTTTGCAGCTAAAAGTTAGGAAAATACTAGCCAGGTTAATTCCAGAAGGCCTTTCCTGCAATTTCTGTGATTCCCAGACTTAAAGATGGAAGACTGAAGGCGTTCTCACAGGAGGAAACTTCTGGGTCAGTCACATAAAGGACTCATCAGATAAGTTTTCCAACGTCCCCTTTGGACTCCAGAGTTGAAATGATCTCATTTTTGTTTTTATAAAGCAACCAGTGCAGGAAGACAGTGGTTTCAGGATAACTGAAAACTTACCCCTTTAATGCTGTAATATTATGTGGTGGGAAGAAAGGAGCCTTGTGGGGTAGAATTAGTGGGGGTGGAGGCAGTTATTGCCCCTCCTCATTGGAACAGGGGACAGAGAGCAGGTTTGCCCAAGGCTGGGGTAAGTAGGAGTCTGGAGTCATGTGAGCTTGAGCAAGTCTTGGTGCCTTGGTTTCCTCAAATGTGGCATGGTGCTACAACTGGACCTTCCTCATAGCACCATGGTCAGCCCGGGACCAGGCGCCTCCATGTCCCTCTGGAGACCACGTGGTCCGAGCAGATTGTTTTGCAAAGGGAGGGGCCTGAGGTGAGGGAGAGGGGACCTGAGCAAGACCCCTCCTCCCCCAGGCCTCTGGGTTTCGGCCCCAATAACCAGTTGACATGCCAGGCAGCAAACACTGGTGACGGACTTGGGAGCTTAGATTCTGTTCCCAACTCCACCTGGGGCCAGTCTCTTCTGGCGGGCTCAGTTTCCCCATCTGTACAGTGGAGTCCACACGGGTGATTGCTTAAGCCCTTCACCACCTTAGCAGTCAGATTTCTCTGGAGAGACGAGGCTGCAGGGGAGCCACCAGTGGAAGCCAGCATATGTGTGCACGTGTGTACACGTGTGTGCGTGTGTGTGCAGACGTCCCCCTCCCCTGACTCCCTGGTGGAAGGCAGGAAGGGATATTTGGGGCCCTGGGCTCCACCATAGTTGGTTTAATTGCAGGTTTTCAGCTGCGGGCCGGTGGGCATGCACTGGGAAGGAGGGGGGGAACTGTTCCGAAACCCTGTCATTTTCCAACGTCTGAGGGCCTCTTCAAAGGGGGGCATCTAGACATTTTCTCCACAAGCTGCAGAGTGGACTGTCGTGGCCCCAGCATGAACATAATGACAGATGCACTTTGTAGCAAGCTGGGAGTGAATGGGTCCGACCGGCTTGTCTCCTGTCAGACAAGTCATTATTTTTTTTTTTTTTTCATCATTTGCTGACAGTTTGTGTTTCATGTGTTTGTCTCTTTTTTCTCCTTTTCCCCCTGCCTGGAAAAATGGCTAGGTATCTACGAAACCCCAGCAGGGACGATCCTCTACCACGCTCATTTAGACATCGAGGCCTTCACGATGGATCGGGAAGTGCGCAAAATCAAACAAGGCCTGGGCTTGAAATTTGCTGAGCTGGTGTACACCGGTACGTAAGCCTCTGCAGCTGCCCACCCAGGTCCCCAGCCTACACCCTCTCTGCCCTTTCTGGCTTTCTGGCCTTTCCCTCCCCTCCCTAACAAAATGGCACCTTCCTTCCAGTCCTGCCCCTCCCATTACCATCCTCTTGGAGAACCAGAGAGATGCAGGTTGAATGGGGTCGAGAGAAGGCAGGGGAAGAGGGAGCAGAGAGAGGATGTCAGGACATGTCCTGTTCTTGGAGTGTCCTCCTAAGGTGCCTGGCTGCTCCCCTCACCTAGGATCTGTATGACTGTTGAGGCCCAGGAAACATCATGGTGTTATTACAATGGCAGCCAACTTTTATCAGCAAAGGCCAGGCGCCGGTCACTGTGTGGGCAAGAGGCACTGTCCCATGGAGTCCTCTCATCTTTCCTAGAAGATCTACAGATCATTTTACAGATAAGGAAACAGAGGCTCAGAAGGGGAAGTAGCTCAAACAAAGTTATGCAATTGAAAGTGGCCAAGCTGAGATTTGAACCTAGGTCAGCCTGTCTCCAGACAGAACCTGTAGCTACTACATGAACTGCCTCAAGGGCAAAAACTCCCTTGACCAAGAACTCAGACCCACGCCTGAGCATTGCATAAGTCAGAGCTTAACCACAAAACACCGGGCGGACACCACACGCCCAGCCCCACGTGGAAGGATCAGTGGACATTAGCAGCATCTAAACTCCCACCAGCCCTGTGTGGGTGGGTCTTCACTTTCCAGGTGAGGTGACTTGATGTCACAGAGCTGCAGTCCAGGCCTCCTGACTCCAAATCCCTCCCTAGTGTTGCATAACGGGTCAGCAAACTATGGGCCACAGGTCAAGCTGTCGCCAGCTTTTGTTCAGCCCGAGAACTAAGAATAGTTTTTACATTTTTAAATGGTTGGAAAAAAAAAATCAAAAGAAGGATATTTGTGACATGTGAAAAAATTCTATGAAATTCAAATTTCAATATCCATAAATAGTTTTATCGGAACACAGCCATGCTTGTGCGTTTGCATGCTGCCTGTGGCTGGTTTCCACCACAGCGGCAGAGATGAGCAGCTGTGAGAGAGACCATATAACCTGCAGAGCCTAAAATATTTACTGTCTGGCCCTTACAGAAGTTTGCTAACCTCTGCTCTATAATGTTCATGTATCGCCAGTTTGGGAAATCACCGAACAGCGCCTCTGAGCTGTTGTGGGGATGGGCTGCTGCCAGAGGCCAACCTTGGCATCTGTAGGGGCCTGGACATCAGGAGGATGGAATGTAATGTTAATGTAAAGTTAATGTTCATAATAACTATCTGGGACGAGCCTGCTCTCCACAGCCCTTCCCTTCCTCCCCTCCCCTCTGAGGTTTTGTTTCCTTTAAACTTCCTAATCATTGTAACTCATCTTGGGATTTAGAGGGCTCGGTGGTTATTGGCTGCCCTCATTTCTCCCTCCCATTGTTCCCAGTGGCTTTGAAGCCCATGTTCCCCCTCTCCAGGTGCAGGCAGGTGTTTAAATACCATTGTCTCCTACGGGCTCTCTTGCTCGGCAGGATTTAAACGCTCAAAGATAGATTTTGGTTACAAAGTGGGAGAGTCATTAGAACGTGGCAGGACCCAGTGGAGGTGAGAGCACCTGGCCTGGGAGCTGGAGAGGCATCAGGAGGGTGAGCAGGGGCGGCTGAGTAGCACCACAGCCACGAACCGTTGTCTCTGGCTGCCAGGCTCCAAGCAGGGCCCTGGACGGGTACTGTCTAATCTCAGCTGCACAGAGGTGAGGAGACTGAGGCCCAGGAGGGGCGAAGACTCTTGTCCAAGTTTTCACAGCTTTGAGTCCAGGATAGACTGGCTTTAGAGGAAAACTTCTTGGACGGCCCAGGAAAGCACAGAGGGGTGTGGAGGTGGGCTGAGCCGTTAGAAAGGGCTGATCAAGGGGACTTGGTATATGACCAGGAGGGCCCTGGTGTCTGGGGCATAGCTTGGCCCTGGCTGTGGGCACAGTGCCCTCTGCACCCAACCGCCTAGGGTGAGTGACTGCTGTCACCCAGCAAACCATCCAAATCCCAAGATGAGTCACCATGATTAGGAAGTTTAAAAAAAAACAAAACCACAGAGTGGCGAGGTGTGGTGAGAGGTTAGGGGAGAGGAGGCTTGTCCCAGGTGGTTATTACTAATAACCTTCCTGAAGTCCCCCTGATGTCCAGGCCCCCACAGAAGTCAAGGTTGGCTCAGATTAGTGATACATGAACATTATGAAGCAGGGGTTAGCTTGAGCAAGTTACTTAACCTCCCTTTGCCTCAGTTTTCTCATCTAAAGAATGGGATGACGATTCTACCTGCCTCGTAAAGAGAATTATGACCAATAATATTTGTAAAGTATCTGTAACAGTGTCTGGCACTTGGGGGCAATGTTCCCGTGTGTGTTAAATAACTACAAATGCTGGCACAGTTTTCGGGTATGGAGGCAGGACTCTGGGGGCCTTGCTTCTGGCTTTGTTTATGATCTTGGGCAGGTCTGTCATCTCTCTGAGCCTCAGTTTCCCCACCTATAAAATGAAGGGACCCCAGGGTCTCTTCTAGTCCTTCCTAGCTCCTTGGCGATAGAGCCCACCTCACTGCTACAGCACTGGGCTTCCCCTGAGCCTCTGTGGTCTCCTTGCACAGATGTGGAGACTGAGGCATGGGGCAGCTCTCTCACCCTACCCTTACTCCTAGATGCCCTGGCTCCTGTGAACTCAGCCTTAACCCACTGCCTCCCTGCATCTGCGTGTCTGTGTCTGACTTCCATCTCCGCCTCCTCCAGACCCTTCCCAACCTTCCTGGTCTGGCTGTTCAGGGTTCGTGCAGACCCCCTGCCTCCAGGAGTGGCCTCACCCCAGCCCACAGGGTCAGCTGGCAGTACCCAGGCTTCAGTGAGGACAGCATCCCTGCAGGGGCTCCATGGAGCATCGCATTCAGGGGGCTTAGCTCACTTCCTCGCTCCTTGCCTCAGTTTCTTCTAGCCAACTCTCCATAGAAAGTTCAGTTGTTCTCCGAATTAGAAAGGATCATGTGTGTAGAGTGCTTGGCGGGAGCTTGGCAGCACGGGATGGGGGGATGTCTCTGGCCCAGCCCCAGGCCCGCTGCGTCTCCCAAGGTACATCCACAGACCCAGGACATGCAGGGTCTTCTTCCCACCCCTCTCCCATGTGCATCAAGCTCCAGGCTTATTGTCCCTCACCCCAGGCTGGGTCCACTGGAAAAAGAAATTTGAGCAGAAGACCCTCGGCGGCAGGTGGGGGGTGGGGGGGGGGGTGGCAGGCGGTGATCCCAGAGATAAAGCCCAGGTCAGGAGGCTCCCCAGGGATCTCTGTCCTTCCTATCTCTGGCCTCATCTCCAGCCTGTCTTCCAGCCTGGGAACTTAATGGGCTAATTATCCTGACTTAGAAGATGGTGTGACCCAGGACACTGGGGGCCGAGGGAGGGGACTTCAGTGCCCTCTCCCACAGGGGCCTCATGGTGTGTTGGGAAAAGCCCTGGGCTAGGGTTCCCAGGCCCAGGTGCTTCTTAGTTGACTTCAGCTCATGGCAACCTCATGTGTTTCAGACTAGAACTGTGCTCTGTAGGGTTTTCAATGGCTGATTTTTTTGGAAGTAGATTGCCAGGCCTTTCTTCCAAGGCACCTCTGGGTGGATTCAAACCTCTAACCTTTCAGTTGGCAGCCAAGTGCATTAACTTTGCACCACCCAGGGGGTCCAGCTAGAGTTAGGAGCCTTCGATTGAGACTTACACTACATGGCTTTGGACAGGCTTTTTCCCTCTCTGGGCATCTGCCTTTGTGCATATACGGGGGTTGATGTAGGTCATCGGGCGTTCACGTTGCAAATACAAAATGCTTAGCCATCTACATGGATTCTCATTGAATCCACACAACCAGCTGGAGAGTGGTTAGTAGTATTATCTCATTTGCAGATGAGGAAACTGAGGCACCACAGGTTATGCTGCCTGTCAAGGTAGGGCTGGGATGTGAACTGAAGAACGAGGACCCAATCTCTTCTCTCCCTCCTCTGCAGGGCAAAGGACCCCACCCCAGAGAAGGTCTGCCCCCCTTTCCCATGGAGAGCTTTTTTAGCAGGTGCCCCCAGAGGCCTGGGCCGCCAACAATAGCCGCAGACCCTGGGCTGACCCAGCCCTTTATCAGGGCAGGAGATCACACACCATCTGGCCCCACAGCTGCCCAGGTGGGCTCACCTTCCCAGCTCTGTTTCAGAGAAACCCTATGCCCGCTCTGTCCCTCCCCCAACCCTGGCCATCGCCCCTCTGCCTGCCCCTCTTACCTTTCTTGGGGAGACTAGTGAGGAGGAGCCGGCTGTCCCAGGGTCTGAGCCTGCTTGTCCCTGAGGTATGGGGTCGCCAGCCTGGGCCCACCTGGGGACTGAGCACCCAGCCCTCCCCGGCCCTTAGGGCTCTGGGGCATGGGGAGTGGGCCTGGGTGGGGGAGGAGGTAGCACACTTCTCAGGCACCTCTTGCCTTGACCTGCAAACCAAGGGATGTTCCAGCCCCGGAGAGGAAAACTTCAAGATAATTATATGAAGCAGAGTCTTGACAACTTGGGCTGGCTGAGGTCAAATCCCTGCTCTTCCCTTACCAACTACATGATTAGAGAAGTTTATTCAACTTCCCTGAGCCTCATTTCCTTACTTAGAAAGACAGAGAGAGTTTTTCTTATACGGTTGTTTTATGAAGATTCAGAGCCAATCCAGATAAAGAATTTTGCTCAGCGCCTCCACTTATATATGTAAAAACATCATATTTGCATATGCAAATAGTATTACGTGGAAACTATTTACGGATTTCCAAGGGCACTGCCCATCCCGAGGGGTGGGCTTTTTTCAGCTTTTCGAATTGCCTGGATGCCGGTGTTCACAGCAGCCCCTGGGTCCACACTCACTAGGGGACAGGTGCCCCATGTACGATAAGTTTCTGGTCGTCTGAGGAGGGAGATAGGTGTCATCCCCACTGAGGAGTCAGCCACCCCTAGCTGCCCATATTGGACACACTCATCACTCAACACCAGGGCCATCTGCCTCCAAGTGTTGTCTGAGGTCTCCTTCCTGGTAAATGTCTGCCTCCCTCACAGGAGCGGAGCTCTCTGTGGACGAGGGATGGGGTCCCTTCATCACTGTCCCCAGCGCCTGTCTGTTGCATGAAGCAGTGAGTTAGCTCCCCTCCTTCTGACCCTCCTTATCCACAGGACCCCTTTGAGGCTACAGGACAGGGGCCCCGTGGGCGTGGTTCCTTGACTGAATCATTTACAAGCTCATACAGTGTTAGCACTTAGCAGCAAGCAAGGCTGATCCGGTCTGTCCTCCGAGAGTCCCTAGGGAAGGTGTTCAGAATCACCCTGTTTTTTGGTGTGAGTGGCTGGGTACATGTTGGTGGCAATCACTGAGTTGAGGAATGTTCCTGGGAAAGATCGTGAATTTAGATTTGAACATCTTGAGTCACAACGCAGCGGGCAGCGTCTGCCGTGATGGGGGCAGGGCATGCCACATCCCTCCTGTACCTGAGTTCCTCTCCATGCCCTGGCCCTAGCACCCTCACTTCTCCTCCTGCAGGTTTCTGGCACAGCCCTGAGTGTGAGTTTGTCCGCTACTGCATCACCAAGTCCCAGGAGCGGGTGGAAGGGAAGGTGCAGGTATCTGTCTTCAAGGGTCAGGTGTACATCCTCGGCCGGGAGTCCCCGCTGTCACTCTACAACGAGGAGCTGGTGAGGTACGTGCCCCACCCCTCACCCTACCGCTCCCAAAGGGCATGCTCACCTCATCCTGCCCTGCGCTGGGCACCAGGGCCTCACACCCATTGCCTCTTCTAACTGGCTTCTCCTAATAACTATTTGCCTGAGCACATGTCAGGTGCTGTGTGGAGCACAGGGGACGTGGTCGTGAAGAGTATTTGACACCATTTATGCCTTTGGCATTAATGTGGAGCTTACAGTCTAGACGGGGAGAAAGGCATCAGTCAAATGATGACACAGATGTGGAATGAGAGAAGCTGACAACGTGCTATGAACAAAGTATAGGATACTCTGGTTAGGTATAATAATTGGGGTTGGGGAGAAGCTTCCCTGAGGAAGTTCTCTTTGAGCTGATCTCTGAAAGAAAGGAGTTAACCCAGCAAAGAGGGGGAGGGCTTCCAGGGAGAGCACGTGCAAAGATTCTGAGCTTTGGAAGAGCCTGGCACATCCCAGGCACTACAAGAACACGAGGGCTAAAGGGCCCGGGGGGAAGGTCCAGAGTCAGATCATAAAGGGCACGCTCAGCAATGGAAAGACAGGATCAGATCTGTGTTTTTAGAGATCCTTCTGCCTGCTCTGGAGAATGGGTTCAAGTATGAGGGAAGCTGGCAAGGATAGAAGCAAGGACACCCTGTGGGAAATGCTGGTGGTTGAGCCAAATTTATGGTTCTGGGAATAGAGAGAAGCTGACAGGTTTAACAGATACTTAGGAGGTGGAATCAAAAGGGCTTAAATTGGAGGGAGAGGGAAGGTGTTCAGAATCACCCTGTTTTTTGGTGTGAGTGGCTGGGTACATGTTGGTGGCAATCGCTGAGTTGAGGAATGTTCCTGGAAAAGATCGTGAATTTAGATTTGAACATCTTGAGTATGGGCATCCTTTGAGATAGCCAAGGAGAACTATCTAGTTGGCCGTTGGACGCATGAGTCTGGAGTTAAGGAGAAACCTGGGCTGAAGCTATTGGAGAGTCATAGGCATTTCCATGTTCTTTGAAGCCATGGGCCAAGAGGAGACCATCTGGGGGGACAAGAAGGGTTTGATCCAAGGGTGTGAGCTGAGCTTCCTCATTGACTGGCCAGGCAGAGGGTGGCTAAGAAGGAACTCCCCGAGAAGTAAGAGGAGAACGCTGGTGGGATGGGTCAATGGCGGTGTTGTTGCTGTTGGTTGCCGCTGAGTCGGCTCGTGCTTATAGCGACCTTAAGTATAACAGAACAAAACACTGCTCGGTCCTAGGCCATCTCCATGACTGCTGGTATCTTTGAGTCCATGAAAACCGAATGAGTCAAAGGCAGCAGTTAACTATTAGCTGCCACTGTGTTTGCATCGTGAATGGGAGAGTGGCCTCCTCTGGAGGTCACCTAGCCAAGCAAGAGGTGGGGGCAGACCCCTGTGGGACAGCCCCATCTGATGCAGGTCCCAGGCCCAGCTTCTCTCAGGCTAAGGCCAGCTCTTCCCTCCCGAAGGCCAGATGGGAATTAAAGTACGAGTTTTGTTTGGCAGCCAATATTATTTTTTCTTTGCCTTCTCTTTGCCATGTTGAGTTTTTCCCCCCTTCAATCTTTCTAAACACTTTATAAGCCATAAATATAACCGAATCAGTTTAGATCAGTCGGGGTAAATGTCAAATTATCTTCTCTCTTTCTCTCTCTGGCTCTTTCTTCCCTCCCCCTCCAAATCAACAGCCTCTAATAATCTGTCCAACCCTTCATTAAGCCTTACAGTCTCACTCAGGGAGATTAAATGAATAAAGTAAAAAGGGAAAGGGGAAAAAAAGAGAGAAAAGCAGGAACATTTATTCTCACTGTGTCTCCGACCATTTCCCTTTTCTTTTTGATTTCTACATCACTGACTTGAAAGCCCTTGAGTGACAGCGTCACAGGGACCAGCGAGGAAGCCGTGAGAGGTAGCAGAACTGGAAATGCCGCGGCACAGTAGGTAGAAAGTAACGTAATTATAGAGCAGGTCAGAGCCACTCGAATGAGCAAAAATAAAAGCACAGAGGTTTTCTGTAGACCGTCAGGGGAGGTTAAAAAAAAAAAAATTATTGTAAACTCTTTTCCACCTCCCCCCCTCACCCCAACTGCAATTTTAAAAAGAGGTTGTTCAATTCCTGAGAATCATCTCTTGGAACTCTTCAGCAGCTTTGGGAGACAAGTTTGTCCCTGGGTGTGGGCCCTCTTTGCAGGGGCTGCTGGGGCAGTCTGGAAGGGCCCATTTTGGGGACAGGGATGGAAGACTGTTTTGACATGTGAGACATGGAGGTGAAGACAGCTGCTTGGCTGATGGGGGCAAGGGGCAGGGAGAAGGGAATTCCTCACCCTGCCTTCTCCCTGGGCTGAGTACAGGAACCCCTCCAAAGGGGAGGGGGAGATTTAGAAGGCGGGGGAGGCCAGATTTGGAAAGCATGTTTGACAGTTTGTGTGTTGGGGAGTAGGGGATGTTGAGCCTTGTTTATCACCCAGGAGCAAGGTCTGAAAAGGAATTTGAGGACGTGGATGTGTTTGGTCCTGGCTTTCTGAAGCACTTACTCCATGCACAGGGAGGCACTGTGTGGCAGACACCCAGGAAGTCTGGTATCTTCTCTTCCAGTGAGCTGCCAGTGACTTCACTGTCTGAGGCCTGGAGGGGCTGCTGGAGGTGGCGAAGACGGGCTGGGAGGTAGAGAGATTAAGGAGGGGTAGGAGCATGGGGATGATTTCATGGAGAGTTCCATGTGCCAGCTCAAAGGCCCAGTGAAGGTCAGGGTGAGGTCGTTTGGGGGTGCACAGAGCCCGTGTCCTGAATAAGTTAAGTCACTGGGCTGGGTGGAGGCACAGACCCCGTTGTCCTTGTAAAAAAAATCCACGATCCACGAAGACAACCAGTCAGAAGTACAGCCTCAGGGTTAGCCGCTCTTCCCTCTCCCTCTCTCTCATCCCAACCTCACCTCTCCAGAGAGGGCTCTTGAGGGGCCAGGCCACCTCCTTGTCATCGAGAACCTTCAGACTGCTTTTTCGCGAGGCTGGAGTTCTGTATCTCTAGCCCTTTCTGACGGGAAGACAAGGGGCTGATTCAGGGCAGGACATGAGGAGGGGCCCGTGAGAAACAGACGGGCTTGGGCAGCTCAGAGGAGCGACCCACCCTTGGAGGCCTCAGAGGTGGCCTCATGGAGGAGCTGGGGCATCTGAGACCACATCCTCATCAGGCTTACCGGTTGCTGTGGAATTGACTCCGACTCATGGCGGCCCCATGTGTGTCAGAATAGAACTGTGCTCCATAGGGTTTTCAATGGCTGATTTTTGGGAAGTAAATCACCAGCCCTTTCTTCCCAGGCACCTCTAGGTGGACTCACACCTCTAGCCTTTTCGGTTAGCTGTCTAGCACGTTAACTATTTGCACCACCCAGGGACTCAAAGTACTTACCACAGTTGTATTTCAGGAATGCTTAGTAGGTGATTGATTGCTTATGTCTGCCTCCCTTATGGGCACCCTACCTGTCTCGTTCGTGTGTCCTCAGCACCTGGGACAGTGCCTGGCAGATTGTTGTTGTTGTTTGGTGCCGTTGAGTCTATTCTGACTAATAGTAACCCTATACGACAGAGTAGAATTTCTCTGTAGGGTTTTCTTGGCCGTGACCTTTAAAGAAGCAGATTGCCAGTCTTTCTCCCACAGAGCTGCTGGCTAGGTTCAAACCACCTACCTTTTGGTTAGCAGCCAAGTGCTTAACTGTTGCATCACCACGGCTCCTTGCCTGGCAGGTAGTAGGTACTTAATAAATATCTGAATAAGTGAATGAGTGAATGGATGAATAATATTAGTAAAATTGAGTGCTTGCCATGTTTCAGGAGTTAGCTAGCTACTTTATTTCATGTGGAGCCAATAATAACTTTAAGAGCCAGGTATCCCTAGCCCCATTTCACAGACGAGAAGACTGAGGCTCCGAGGGTGAATGTTGCTCTAAGATTTATGGTGGTGGAGCTAGGATGCATACCCAAATCTGTGGGACTTGAATGACTCTGCTGTGGTTGAGAGGAGCTTGGAAGGGCAGCTAAATGAGAACAGCACAAAAGATGAAGGTGGTTGAATCCAGAAATATGGAAACTATAGAGGAAAAAAAATGTTCAATTGAATATAGCAGCCACTGACCAGGCACTTTTCACAACCAGCTGGTGTGTGATGAGTGCTGGGGTTCAAGGACAGATTAGACAGGGTCCAACTGGTTGGACAAAAAGATGAAACAAGACTTAGCAGCCAAATCTTGCCATGAATGCTGGAGGCTGAAGCTTGAGAGAAGCTGTCGGTCAAAACTAAGGCTATTCCCATGCATGCTTCCTTGCCTCCCAAACCTTTGGGCCACTGGCCATTGTTAGCTGAACACTCCTCCTCGAGCCACACCACAGCCCCAAGGACAGCTGGCTCCAATCTGGGTCCCCAGTTGACAGACGGAGTGCTCTGATTCACAGGAGGATTTCACCTAGCTAGTACTGGCTGATTCTGGTAATTGTGGTTCAGTGGTAGAATTCTCACCTTCCAATCTAGAGACTCGGGTTCAAATCCCAGCCAGTGCACCTCATAAATGCAGCCACCACGTGTCTGTCAGTGGAGGGTTTTATGCTGCTATGATGCTGAACGTGTTTCAGCCAAGCTTCCAGACTAAGACAGACTAGGAAGAAAGGCCTGGTAATCTACTTCCAAAAATCAGCCAATGAAAACCCTATGGATAACAACCGTCTAGCCCACAAGTGATCATGGGAATGGTGCAGGATCAGGCAGCGTTTTGTTCCATTGTGCATGGGGTCCCCATGAGTCAGGGGAAGATTTCATGGCTGCTAACCACAATTACTGGCTGAGCTGGGGCTGCTGCTCCCAGCCTCCCCTCACTTGTGAAGCAGGAAAGACGACACTGTGCTCTCCTCGGAGGCAGGGCCAGGCCTGTCTGGCTCTCCAGCCCCTGGTCCAGAGTAGGGGCTCCCTGAATTGGACAGAAATCAAATGGAAGTCAAAGCGCAGGGAGAGTTTGGACAAACTCAAGGAGGGGAAACGCCCTGGGCATCTGTGAGGATCTGTGCGGATCTGTGCCTGGCCCTAGAGTTCCCTCCAATGCAGAGAGCAAGGCCTGGGTCGTGCTGACAAGTTTCTGTTCTCTCCTTGCAGCATGAACGTCCAGGGCGATTATGAGCCGATCGATGCCACCGGTTTCATCAACATCAACTCCCTCAGGTGAGACCCTCTGGGCCCTGATGGACCCTCAGATCCCCACGTGTGGGGAGCAGGCTCTGACTGCGGCTCAGCCCTAGACAAGCCCCACCTTCCTGTCCATCACCAACAGCATCCTCAGTGCCTGCTCTGGACCCAGCCTGCTCTCAAGCTCAGTGGGGCCAGAAGGCGTGCTTGCAACAGCCATAAGGAGCAGAGGGTCCTGGGCATTTGGATCCCAAGTTCCTGGATCCTGTCCTTTGTCTCTAAAAGTCACTCCCACCCTCTCCAACCATAGGGGCCCCCACATATAAGCCCTTTTCCTGGACAGGTTAGAAATGAAAGTGGCTGAGTGGTAGAAAGGAGCCTTAAAAAGTCACCTTGTCCAGCTCCTGCCTTCATGTCACCACATGACAGCTGCTGGTCTAGCTGGAAACCATCCTAGCTATGTGGATCTCCACGGCCCAGTGGGGTGGCACATGTACTCTGAGGCCGCCCAGACCTGGGTTCAAATCTTGGCTCTGCAGGATGCCCTTAACCCCCTCTAAACCTCTGATAGTCCCAAAGTGAGGATGTTACCAATACCTGCCTCAGTGCCCAGCAGCAAGCACTCTGACTGGCCGTGGCCTGGGGATGGCATGTACAAGGGCAAACTGGGTCATGACCAGCAACTACCTTTTAGGCACTCCCTTAAGTTGTCTCATTTAATTCTTACACAAATTTGCAGCTGCAGAAACAGGCCCAGAGTGGCTGAGTAACTTACCTGAGGTCACACAGCTAGGAAGTTGAGGAGCTGAGTCCTGAAGGCTTGTCGGTCAGCTCTGGGTTCTTAATCACCAACTTCTTTCTCATGGGGCTTGGATTTGGGAAGGTGCAGGTTGCTCTCCCCTCCCTGACAGCATGCCCTGAGCACAGAGTCACCATTTTCTCCCAGAGCCAGTCTCTGTGCCTGGAGCCACCCTAGCCCAGGAGAGACACTGAATCCATCCAGAATGCTCTGGGCACTCTCCTCCCCACAGTCACCTCCAACCTCCCACCTCCTGCACCCTCTGTTTGTATTTTATGACTCTATAAACCCTTTTAAATGGCCCAGAACACACCGTGTTTTCATAATGGCCCCTTCATTTCTCCCATTGCCAGTTAACCGCTTTGTCTTCAACAATGACAAGCAATGTTTTCTCCCTACAATAAATTACATTATCCTGATTGGAGGGCAGGAGGGGCCAGGGCAGCAGAGGGAAGAGAGGAAGGAAACTAAAGACAACTTCACACACATCTTAACAAACAGCTGCCCCCCACCACCCCGATTCTGCCTGAATTAATTGAACCGAGTGCATGTTGTTATTGTTAATTTACATTTTTCTTTGTTTTGAATCTGGTTTACAGGCTGAAGGAATATCATCGACTCCAGAGCAAGGTTACCACCAAATAGACCGGCTGACAATGAGGAGCTGGGGCCTCCTCGCTTTGTCAATTTCCCAAGTACAAGCACTAATTGTTGTGATAATTTGTAATTGTGACTTATTCTCTCTGGCTGGCAGCATCTTGGGGGCGCCAGATCCCAGCTTTGTTCCCTGCCCCCCCTAGCCTGCAAAAGTGGTCAGCAAAACGAAGAGTGGGGGTGGCTACAGTGGGGAGCAGTAAAATGACAATTAAAAAAGATACATTAGCCTTTTGTTTCTTTATTCCTGCAGAGAGCTGGGTGAGTGAGCGTGTGTGCACGTGCGCGCGCACGTGTGTAGTCAATCATGCTTTTCTTAGCTCAACCTTTGCGCTTTGTGATTTAAGTGCTGCCGAAGACCACCTTTTGCCAGAGAACCTGTTTCATCTGGCAAAGTCAACCCCTCTCCCCCAGCAAAAACTTGGAATTCAGAACTGCCCACCTGAGTCAGACTCTAGACCCAGCAACCTGGGGCTTTGTCACCAAAAGGAAGCCGAAGAGAGTTTAGGTGACATGCTTGGGGAGTGTGTCCTGCCCACAGCCCTTTCTCTGGGCATTGCTTTTACCCACAGCCCACACAGGACTCCTGGATTTGGTGGCCACGATTGACCACACGACGCTCCCACACCACAGCTGAGTGGCCTGAAGTAGCCTAAATTATGGAGGAGGAAGAACCCCAAGTAAGAAGAGAAGCCTATGCAGAGAGGAGAAATGAACACAGAATACAGTGGGCACTTTTGGGGAGGGTGTGTCTGTCCAGACTACAAGGTTCCTGTATGGCTAATCCACAAACCGACCCAAAGAAGCCATGTTTTACTGTGACCCGCCTCCTCCCTCCTGCTTACTTGGTCATATCTGATTGGACCAAGACTGATCACCTGACCTGATCTGGGCCAATCAGAATCTCCCAGGGATTTGGATTTTTTTTTTTTTTTCTAATTACGGTTTAGGCAAATGGTCAGAACTGAGGACAAGTAAAGTTAGGCGTGGTGTCTTGCCCCCTACGTGAAGTAGCAGAGAACAGTCTGCAGAGAGGGAGAAGAAGGATGCGGGCAGAGAAGCAGAGGGGAGGAGTTGAAGAATGGATTACGAGTTTAGAGCCCCTGTTCCCATCCTGATACCATCATGAAAGCTGATGGCATTTCTTGACCTGGATTCCCCGAGACACCCTGGTTTCACATAACCAACTGCCATTTAGGGCTTTAGCTTCTGAAGGGAGTTTTGCTGCTTGAAACCAAAAGCATCTTTACTGGGAAGACCTGAATGCTGATTCCTCTGGGCCTTGCCCTGGTTCTAGACCCAGAGCTTGATCTCTGAGTTTTCCACTCCACTGCCTTTGTCAATGAGGGCTTTTTTAAAACTTGCCTTCAATAAAACTTCTTATTTTCTGATTATGACAGTTATAAATGCCCATGGTAATAATAGTAATTACTCAATGAATATTAACTTTGTGCCAAACACTTTGCTACACACTTCATTAGCATTATCTCATTGAATCCTCAAAACAACACTCTATGAGGTAGACACTTCTATCTCGATCTTACAGAGAGGCAACCAAGGTACGGAGAAATTGATTTGCCAAAGGTAACACAACTAGCAAGTGGCAGAGCCAAGAGTCAAGCCCTGACCTGGCTGGCCCCAAAGACCTTGTGTGTTTATGTTCTTAACTATTGTAATCGACTGTATCTTAATTGCTTTTTTTCTTTTAAAAATTAGGAAACAACAGAAAATGTTATAGAAATAACTATTTCCCATTATCCCACCACCCAGTTACAAACATGGCTTACATTTGGTGTATTTCTTTTTTATTGTATTTTTCTATGCTTACATTTTGCATTTTTACTTAGAAGTAGAAATACAACATTGCACCCTGTTTTTGAAATTTTAATATTATATCATTAATGCTTTCCTATGTCATTAAAAACTCTTTATAAGCAATTTCAAGGAGCCCTGGTGGTGCAACAGTTAAGCACTCAGCTGCTAACCAAAAGGTTGAGGGTTCAATTCCACCCAGCAGCTCCATGGGAGAAAGACCTGGTGATCAGCTTCCATAAAGATTGCATGATAATGAAGATTTCTGCTTAGAGTAAGATGGTATGACAATTTAAAAAGAAATATCAATACTGTTTTTCAATTCAATTTTTTTCATTTAAAATCAGGAATAAATTTTATAATATGGTGTAATCTTTTAATAATGAGTCTGTACCAAAAAAACAAACAAACAAAAAAAAAGATTGCAGCCAAGAAAACTCTATTGGGCAGTTCTACTCTCTCATGGGCCACTATGAGTTGAAATCAACTAAATGGCAAACGAGAACAATAAGCAATTTCAACAACTGCATAATATTCATTATACTGATACCCCCTACCTAACTTTACTTTCCCCACTTATGGATTTAGTTTTGTCCACATTCTAAATTATTTCCTGCTTTTTTTTAAGATTTATTTTTATGATTGATTTATTACTATATTTCCTTTTTAGTGGCTTTTCTAGGGCCTACAGTATGCATCTTTAACTTACCACAATTTACCTTCAATTGATATACCACTCCACATGTCTTGTAATAATCTTACAATACAACCTTAGAACATTTAACTTTGTGTAATTGTTGTCATAGATATTACTTTTACAAAACCCCACAATACATTGTTATTATCTTTATGCATATACTGATATAGTCATATGATTTTTCTTCTTTAGCCTATGGATGTGATGGACTGCATAAGCTGATTTTCAAATGTTGAACCAGCCTTGCATACCTGGAATAAATCCTACCTTGTTGTGGTATATAATTCTTTTTATAGATTGTTGGATTTGATTTGTTAATATTTTGTTGATGGTTTTTGCATCTATGTTCCTGAGAGATATGGGTCTGTAGTTTTCCTTTTTGTAATGTCTTTGTCTGGTTTTTGGTATCAGGGTAATGCTGGTCTCATAGAATAAGCTGTGTTCCTTTTGCTTCTATTTTTGGAACCAGTTGCAGAGAATTGGTACCATTTCTTCCTTAAATGTTTGGTAGAATTCACCAGTGAAACCGTCTGAGCCTGATGCTTTCTGTTTTGAAAGGTTATTAATTATTGATTCAATTTTTTTAATAGATACAGGCCTATTCAGATTATCTAGTTCTCCTTGCGTGAGTTTTGGTAGATTCTATCTTTCAATAAATTGGTCCATTTCACCTAAATTATCAAATTTGTGGGCATAGAGTCGTTCATAATATTCCCTTATTATCCTTTTAATATCCATGGGATCAGTCGCGATGGCCCCTTTCATTTCTGATATTAGTATTTGTATCTTCACTTTTTTTTCTTGGTTATCCTGGCTAGAAGTTTATCAAATTAGTAATCTTTTCAAAAACTAGCTTTTGGTTTCATTGTTCTATTGTTTTCCTGTTTTTATTTTTATTAATTTCGTCTCTGATTTTTCTTATTTCTTTTCTTTGGCTTACTTTGGATTTAATTCACTCTTCTTTTTCTAGTTTCCTAAGGTGGAATTTTGTTGTTGTTATGTGCCGTTCAGTTGGTTCCAATTATAATGACCCTACATACAACAGAATGAAATACTGCCTGGTCCTGCACCATCCTCACAATCATTGTTATGCTTGAGCCCATTGTTGCAGCCACTGTGTCAAACCATCTCGTTGAGGGGCTTCCTCTTTTTCACTGACCTTCTACTCTACCAAGCATGATGTCCTTCTCCAGGGACTGGTCTCTCCTGATAACATGTCCAAAGTGTGTGAGATGAAGTCTCACCATCCTCCCTTCCAAGGAGCATTCTGGCTGTACTTCTTCCAAGAAAGATTTGTTCATTCTTCTGGCAGTCCATGGTATATTCAATATTCTTCACCGACACCATAATTCAAAGGCATCAATTCTTCGGTCTTCTTTATTCATTGTCCAGCTTTCACATGCATATGAGGCGGTTGAAAACACCACGGCTTGGGTCAGTTGCATCTTAGTCCTCAAAGTGACATCTTTGCTTTTTAACACTTTAAAGAGATCTTTTGCAGCAGATTTGCCCAACGCAATGCGTCATTTGATTTCTTGACTGCTGCTTCCTCCATGGGCATTAATTGTGGATCCAAGTTAAATGAAATCCTTAACAACTTCAATATTTGCTCTGTTTATCATGATGCTGCTTATTGGTCCAGCTGTGAGAATTTTGGTTTTCTTTATGTTGAGGTGTAATCTATACTGAAGGCTGTAGTCTTCGATCTTCATCAGTAAGTGCTTCAAGTCCTCTTGACTTTCAGCAAGCAAGGCTGTGTCATCTGCATATTGAAGGTTGTTAATGAGGCTTCCTCCAATCCTGATGCCCCATTCTTCTTCACAGAGTCCAGCTTCTCGGATTATTTGCTCAGCATACAGATTGAATAAGTATGGTGAAAGAATATAACCCTGGGCACACTTTTCCCTGACTTTAAACCACACAGTATCCCCTTGTAGTCTTTGAACGACTGCCTCTTGGTCTATGTACAGGTTCCTCATTAGCACAATTAAGTGTTCTGGAATTCCCATTCTTCACAATGTTATCCATAATTTGTCATAATCCACACAGTCGAATGCCTTTGCATAGTCATTAAAACACAGGTAAACACTTTTTTGGTATTCTCTGCTTTTAGCCAAGATCATCCATCTGACATTAGCAATGGTATCCCTTGTTCCATGCCTTCTTCTGAATCTGGCTTGAATTTCTGGCAATTCCTTGTCGATACACTGCTGCAAATGCTTTTGAATGATCTTCAGCAAAATTTCACTTGTGTGTGATATTAATGATATTGGTCCATAATTTCTGCATTCTGTTGGATCTCATTTCTTTGGAATGAGTACAGATATGGATCTCTTCCAGGTGGTCAGCCAGATAGCTGTCTTCCAAATTTCTTGGCATGGACAAGTGAGTACTTCCAGTGCTGCATCCATTTGTTGAATCATCTGAAATGGTATTCCATCAATTCCTGGAGGCTTGTTTTTCGCCAATGCTTTCAGTGCCGCTTGGACCTCTTCCTTCAGTACTGTCAGTTCTTGATCATATGCCACCTCCTGAAATGGTCGAATGTTGACCAGTTCTTTTTGGTACAGTGACTGTGTATTCCTTCCATCTTCTTTTGATGCTTCCTGCGTCATTATTAGTATTTTCCCTGTAGAATCCTTCACTATTGCAACTCGAGGCTTGAATATTTTCTTCAGTTCTTTCAGCTTGAGAAGTGCCAAGTGTGTTCTTCCCTTTTGGTTTTCTATCTC